AGGGGGACTTTTTGGGTTGGCAGGGGTCGAATCCCTGAGGGGGGCGTCCCTCCCCCTAAATCCGCTCCTGGCCTCAATTAGAATTCTGGGCCCTATAAAAGAAAAATATACCATTTGTGTAAATTGTTAATCATTTCGGTAATTTTGGACCGCATAACAAAAGGCTCCAGCAGTATAGTCGTCTCACTATCTCCCTGGAAGGGCAAGTGAAAATTAAAAGTGTTATCATCAGTGTTGTACGCCACCCACATTGATAGTTTTGTTGATTGATTCGGCATTGATATGTCCTTTTATTGTAAATGTTAACTCTTTGATTGCTGATTAATGTATTATTTTTTAAATGAACCACTTGTTAATTATTGAAAAAGAATTGAAATATTGTGCATTCTCGTTTCTTAATTGTTATTTAAGATTGGTCTGGATTTTGAAGGAGCCAGCGCGCAAAGCAAAAGTGAGGCCTATAGAATTGCAGCAATAACTACGAGAAAAATTCATGATCATCATGGGAGGGGCGGTGAAGTGGTTGCGTCTCCGCCTCTCAATCGAGAGGTCGGATGTTCGAGGCCCACCATGATCCGTGCTCGTTGCTTGAGGATGAGAGAACATTACCCAGCCCAGAAAAATAACCAAAAAAATTGAATAGAATTCTTATGCAGGGTTACAATAGCGTTTCGCGGTGATAAGCTGTACAGCTCGTATGTTGGTCCGAACTCCCTCGTGGATAAAAGCTCGTAACAAAGTCTTTGCATGCTGCAAATCGAATAGCACAAAATACCTAGCCTACAAGATTAAGTTATCATACCCGGCCAAATAGATTCAGTTCTCATCCACGGCCAAATTTTTCTCCTTCAATTTGAAAGTGGTAAGTGAACTGGAAATGGCTAACCGCTGCCGACATTTTCCCAGTTTTTCATCACTATTTAAACTAGCAATAAAGTTAGGATCGCTTTAAACTATTTCCCTTTTTTGACCTGGTTAAGCATCGCCCCTATGCATGTTTTAAGTTTCAAACAAATTTCTGTATCACTATGATGTATTTGGAAAACTCTGAAAAAGCATAAAATATTTCGGCTTCTTTCCAGTTTCCTACCCCCCCTCGTAAAATGCCAAATATTAAATGCTGATAAATTGTTCATACGGCAATTTGCCTTAAAAATATTGTAGCAATCTGCTCACTTGATCATGCTGACACGTTTTTTTTACAGTTAAGAACATCTAAAGCAATTTTTCTAGTCAAAATAACCGAAAAAATCAATGGCAAAAGCTGCTCTAATATTTATTACTTCGATCAGAAAAAAATATCCTCGGTATCAAAAAAAAGTTTCAAACTAGGTAAATTTGTGTAATAATGAAAAAATAGAAATTATTGGCTCACTTTGTCGGTACTTTTTCGAAAGCAACAGGAAAATTTTTTAAATGATTGCGATATCAAGTTAACAACCTTTATCTTTAGCGATGTTTTATTTTTAAGAGATGGAATTTTCAGCCAATCAGAATCAAAGTTTTTTTTGAGCAGCGGGGCTCTTTTGAGTGTCTTCATCATCATTTTTGGCTTCATAGATTTTCGAAAAACGAGTCTCCTACGCTCATTTAAGATGACTTTTAATGTTTTAAGCTGCAATAAATCATATCAGCTTCAATAAGTGAATCATGTTTACAACATGCAAATTGCCCTCTAATTTTTTTGTAAAAACAACTTAAGGATTTTTTTCACCTTTTTTTGACCTTAGAAATTAAATTTTCTTGATACACAAATGATGGGTCAAACCTTTCAAGGTCGAAAAAGGTGAAAAAATTTCTTAAGTTGTTTTAACAAAAAAATGGTAAGGCAATTTGATTCACCTGTTGAAGCTGACATGATTTTTTGCCGCTTAAAACGTTAAAACTCATCTTAAATGAGCTTAGAAGAGTCGATTTTTGAAAAATTATGCAGCCAAAAAAATGATGAAGACACTCAAAAGAGCCCCGCTCCTCAAAATAATTTTGATTCTGATTGGCTGAAAATTCTCTCTTAAAAATAAAAAATCGCTAAAGGTCGAGGGTGTTAACTTGATCTCGCAATCATTTCAAAATATTTCTTACTGCTTTCGGAATAGTACCGTCAAAGTGAGCCAATAATTTCTAATTGTTCATTATTACACCAGTTTACTTAGTTTGAAACCTTTTTGATACCGAGGATACTTTTTTCCGATCGAAGTAATAAAAATTAGTGCTGCTTTTGATGATACTGTTAAAGCAGAAGGCTGAAGTGGCTATCGAATATCATGTGGCTTTCGTTTGATGCTTAATAAATTATAACAGTTTTTTTAGCTCATCAAACGACCCGCAGAAACCTATTTGTGTCTTTCAACAGTACTCCTTTTCAAGGACTCATTTTCAAAAAACTCCCTTTCAAAAATTTTCCAATTCAGTATATTTCGCGAACTTTTTGAAATGCGAATTATATACGCAATTTGGCTTTTTTTCAAGCAGTTAGCTTGATTGCCTTTATTTTATTACATTACAGTTTAATACATGCAAATTTATGTTTTTGATTTTGTAGCTCACTTTTGCCGCAATTGCGTAGGGCATTCGACTACAAAATTTGAATGAGGTTTCAATTCCCGCTTGGGTGAATTCGTTTTCGGTGCTAAATATTAATTAATCTTTTTTTTTCTTTTTTTTCTCTCGTTAAACGCTACTTTGTGGCCTGTATTCGCTTGTGTTTTCGCGGTTTAATTTCTATTTCATTTCATAAATGGATTTTCACTTTCAATAGTTTGGAAAAAGAAAAGGTGCTTTGTGACCCGGTTTTTTCTACTGGCGATAGTTTTTTGAATAAAGTGTCAATCATGAAACTTTGACACTTCAATCATTGAAAGAGCTCTAACGTGATGTATTTTCTTCTTCGATTTTGAAACCTAGTTTTGTGGGTGAAAAGAAAATTTTTTGAAGCAATAATAGAACGTAGTGAATGCACTTATATAGTTCATGTTGGCTCTTATTTTTTCAGCAGATTGTATTTTTTTGAGGTTTGAAGTTCTTTCGCTAAAACGACGCAATTAAAAAAATCCAGGTATTGCAAAAAAATGCGAATGAGTATTCATTTTTAAACGTTTCTGAGAAAACATAATCTACAAATATTTTCTTTAATCAAGAACGAAAAAAAAGTTATTGAAGAGGATTAGATACTATCGTTTTTCAAACCATAAATTATAAGAAATTGCGAATGTTTGTTTGTTTTTGGTCTGCTTGAGTTCAATAGCTCTTTTCCAGGGCTTTAAATTTCTTCATTAAAATTGCGTTTATGACTTCTTCATTAAAGTTACTATCTACCAGCAAATTGCCGTATTTCATGCCTACTGTTTGCTTAGCAGATTTTGCCACCTTTTTTATATTGGTTTAATCATCTGCAAATATATCTTCTGAAGGATTCTATCATTTCTTTCCCAATTCGAATCATCTGATGGCTTATTAAAGAATTGATGCAAGTCTCTTGAATACTCCAGTATACTTGGCTTTAGTTTTTTCTTTAAAGTATAAATGTTCCTTTTCGAACAAAATGGCGGCCGTTTGCTTGTCTTTTTTGTTATGTGGGTTTAGTTGCCATATAACAAAATTTTCTTGTGCTGTAAGTTAATAAAATCTTTTTTTTATAGTTACTCCATTAATTCATAAATTAACTAACATTGAGTAGAATATGTATTTTTTTTCGCTGAAAAAGTTTGTTTAGCGTAGATGGATTTGGGACCCAATTTTGTATATGTCGTATTGGCTATATTAAATTGCGTCATTTTTGCTTTGTTTGAAGTGAAACAAACGTTCTACGCCACTACTCTTTCCATAAACACAAAAAGATAAAAATCTTAGAATTTCAAAATTTACAGCTAAAAAGTTTTAATGACTAAATATTTGTTTTCGGCAAAGTTGACTTAATCCTTTCATTTGTAATTTAACGAGCCTTGATTCGATTTTGTTTCTTTTTTGTTTTTCTTGCTAAAAGCTTTATTTGGCTTTTTTTGTCTTTTTGGATTAGTTTCACAATGGTTATTTTAGTCAGCATTTTTAGCTATTCATTGAGCTAACGGCTGCTGTTATCGATAATATTTTGGTGCATAAAATTGAGTTCACGAGTTTTTGCGCGATTAGCTTAAATAATGTTTTGATTGAATTTTTTGTCAACAAATGTTTTTATTTATGGTTTGATTCTTTTTACCCTGTACTGTTTCTAACGGTACTCGTTGTGAAGATAGGCAATAGTTTTCGGCTTCATTAACTGAAAAGATGGAAAATAAAGGTTTTCAGGCTTTTTAAAGGAATCATCGATTGTTTTGTGAGTAGCTAATAGCATTGCAGGCAAATTTGTAATTTACTTCTAATTTTTTTGCTGATTTGTTAAATAAAAAATTCTTTTTATGCTTCTTTGGTTCAGTGTTCTTTAAAACTAGTACTGCATTGCAAGTGGTGCGAAGCTCCATTTCGCCTCTGTGGCAATAATTTGATATTTACTAGTTAATAAAAACAATGATATAAGGTAGACAATGAGGCCAACTGTTTTGTGTTTTGAAGTCAATATTATGAATCAACTTCTAAGCTAGTTTCTATCAAAACTTGAATTTTACCGGTTTGATCATACTTTTTAGCTGTTTGTTTGTCTCTCGAGGGAAATCGGGAAAAAACAATGATGGTGATATTTATGGTTATTCATGGTGAATTGCTCAATCAAATTTCATCGGTGCGAAATGTTTCGCATTTCGATAGCATTGTTGTTATGAGATATCGTTATAGTTTCCGTTATTGTTATTGTTCAGAGAAATTTTAGTTTCCGGTTTGATGATGCGTCAGATTGAACAAAAAGCTTTTGAATAATATTTTGGATCACGGTTCAATCGGTTCACCTAATTTATTTTTATTTGTGATTTTTTGATCCCTTTGAATAGTCGCTTTGTGTCAAATCAATTGTTTTTTTTTGTAAAAACAAAATTAAAAGTTAGATCAACCGAATTTTTCATGATACAGTAATGCCTCTCACAGTTTTAGTCACTCTGTTAACAGTTTCCTGTTTCTGCGAGACAGCGAAAGGTTCAAGTGCGAATAGTTCTTCATTGTCCGTTGAGTTTATTAATCCGGCAAAACCGAACACAAGTTCAGTTTACCTGGGCCACTCTATGGATTTTGTCATCAGAGCTACAAGTGGTGTGTTAGAGGAAGTTCTGTGCGCTGCCGAGGGGAAAAATAAGTTTCTAACTTTGACGAAAGAATCTCTCCAGAACGAGACTGCAGCTGTCTTCGAATTGACTGCAGAAAGAATTGGTAAAACGCATGATCGAATATTTCGGCCTGTTTCAAACGATCTGTCATAGTGCCTAACAATTTACCCCTAACAAGAGCAACGCCGTTAAGCACGTGAAAATTTTAAACTTTTAATCATGACCACAATATTATAAGCTTGGAAGAAGGTCAATCAAGAAAGCTTTTTCGCATTTGACGGGTTCAAAACGTGGATTACTGTTTCTTATATGTCGGTTTATGACGATGTGGAGAATGTTCAAAAGTTAGAATTTAGTTTTCGTTTTTGGAGACTACTAACTTCATAATAGATTTAGCTTTCATATTTCACTGATATTATGGCATAGTCAGTACAAAAAGGTTGTTGCAAAAAATTTTTCAAACATTTCTTGTTTGATACCTTAAGAGTGCTTCTACAAAAAGATCACATTCTGCTATATGTCATGCCCAAATTTAAATTTTTGCTGTTTTAACCTTTACATAAACGAGCGGGCAAATTTTATCGTTTTTTTTCACAAATACAGGCTACGAAGTGATTCGCTGCACCCAATTCAACAACGCATCAGCAAATGATTCTAGTTTGAACGTCGCAGATATCTTCTCCGATAGTTCGAACGATTTCCTGGAAATCAATATCACCATAATTCTGGAACAAAACTGGGTATATGCGGTGGCTCCTGGTGTGGCGACGTCAGTTCTTGTGACTCTCAATTTCTTGTTTGGAACCGACATATCTTTGAAGGATCTCAGGTTCATCACTCTGAGACCGAAACCTCTGATTGCAGCAGCACTCTGTCAATTTGTTCTTCTGCCACCTGTTAGTTCAAAATTTAATGTCAAGTTCCGTAAAAAAGTTTTTGTTTTCGACCACACTTAACACGTGGAGAAACTTTGATTGGATTCGTTTTTTTAACGTATAATCAGATATCTCAAATAAAAAGCAGATGTGGTTAATATCAGTTCATGTAATATTATGATTGGTTAGATGATCGAGTTTTTGGGGGATTTCTATTTTTCTAACAAATGACACCTTAGGTTGCAGATTTAACTTTGTTTTCTCTTTATTAGTGTGGTCTAGGAATAGCGAAGATGCTGCACTTTGAGCCAGATGTGGCCCTGGGCGTCCTCTTGATGGCCTGTGCACCGGGGGGAGGGGCCAGCAACTCTGCCACCTTCTTGGTCGAGGGGGAGGTGCCTCTCTCTATCTCAATGTCTTTCTTCAGCACCGCCCTCGCTGCAGGTTACAACGCTTTCTTTCTCTCACACAAATTTTATATTGGAGTGGTTTTCTAATTTTTCAGCTCTCCTCGCAAAATGGAGAGTTTAACAGTATAATAAATAGAATTGATTACATGTCAAATTTCATTCAGAACTCAGAATGCATGGTCAAACTTGTTTTTTGTGGTCCGGAACTTCTAAGAAAACAACAGCAATTAATGGATCGAACTCGAAGCAAGGCGACTGTGAGCTTGCCAAGTATTTATACATCATACTTAGATAGTTTTGTCAACATTTGTTCAAAATTGGTTATTTTTAGAGGAAAAGAGAAAAAAATCGTTTTTTTAGGGACGATGCCTCTGAACTTACTCATCTACAGCCGGTTTTTGACCTCTGACCCCAGCTTCACACCCTCCGATATATCTTACAAAACTTTGGCGACTGGTCTTGTGCTTATCGTGGTGCCTGTCTGTATTGGGATGGCATTGATAGCAAAGGCACAGAAAGTGACGCTGAAGATTAAGAAGTTTGTTCAACTATTCGTCTTGCTGCTTGTTGTGTTGCTGGTCGGATTAGGTAACTCGAGTCTTCCTCCTTTTGTAACTTGATCTTGATGATAGTTCAAAGTATTCCATGAAATGTCACAAAGTCATCAACTACAAAAACTGAGAAAATTGTTTAAAAACTATAAAAGTTACGCGATCATCTTCTGTTTTTCAGAAGAAAATAGATATTCTCGCAGATTTTGCCTCATGTTTAAAAATAATAAGCGTATTTTTTCGTTGTTTTTTGCCAACTTGGATTAACAAAATGCATGCTGATATGCTTTTTAAGCAAAAATTGAATTCCGATTTTTCAAAGTTAACAGTTAGATATCGACAACGTTTTTTTAGTTGCGTACAAGACGTGGTACGTGTTTCAATTACTGACTGGCAAAGACCTCCTGGGAGCTATCCTTCTTCCACTCTCTGGGTTCTCTCTCGGAACATTCGCCTCTGTGCTGATGCGACTCCGCTGCTCCCAGGTCAAAACCATCGCCATCGAAGTGGGTGAGTTTGGATGTGACTACTCGTGACAGAAGGTCCAACTTGCAGAAAATTTCCAGCCAATCAAAATCTCGAAATCCTTTAAATCGTCCAGAGCTGCGGTTGACTCTTGCATTTATTCTTGCATTTTATTGAGGACGGTAATCTGATTGGCTATTTTTGTCCTTTGTTCCATCTGTCATGAGGGCACTTTTAATTGTGACCTCAGCAAGTTCTTGGAGTCTGATTCCTAATAATGAATCTCCGACACCATAAGATAAAGTTCCAGCGTAGCGCCTATGAATAATCGACATAATAAAAAGCTCTCTAAAGGGGGTAGGATTTTTCAAAACAACGGAGAGTGAAATAACTCTTAACCCTTCCGATTAGCAAGCATTATCTAGTCGGACTTTTTCGAAGTTGTTTAAAAAATCATTTGGCCAACTGTGTGATTTCCTCAACAAAAGTTACATTTTGAGCATATCTGCGTTTTAAATATCTTTTCTATTTACACTATCGCGCGTAGTGTATTATTATGGCTCTACTTTTTTCCCAACCTAACTCTCTCATAAAAGTGCTAAGCATTTTATAGCATCTGTTCTCTGATTTTTTTGTGCTAGTGTTTGCTGATTGTTACGAGCCCGTGAGGCTAAGAGGGAAGGAGGTGAGACTCCTAATCTCGAGGTTGCAAGTTCGAATCCGACTCGGCTCAAAGTTTTACTAACTCGAGGCTTATTATTTCTACCTTTACTTATTTCACTTTCTAGAGCTTTTTTATCGTTTTGCCGCCAATGCTTGCAAATCGCAGCTTCGCCTCTGAGCTTAAAATTGTTTCTAGGTTGGTTCTAAGTTTCCTACTTAATTCCCCTCTATTTATTTTTTTTTCGCAAGTATTTTTTGCTTTAGTCGGTACGAAAATTGGCCAATGCTATGTCGATTATTGCTTCGTTTGATAACGAATATTGCTTCGTTTGATGGCGTTTGTTTCTGCTTTGCGTGTGTGTGTTTTTACGGGATTTTAAATTTGAATTTCAAAATATTTGATAGCTCAAGGATTTCTGTGATAGCAATTTTTTCAGCTCAACTGATTTCTGCTCAAGTATTTTCGGCTGGCTTACCGCTGGGTAAGTTATGTTTCGATGCTTATTGATCATTGGCAAGAGTTTTAAGTAGCATATTTTTCTCAAAATTGCGAGACAAATCTATGAAAATCAGAAATCATGGCAAACTTTTTTAAAGGATCGAAGCGTAGTGTATTATTACGAAGAATTTTTTTTGTAGCCTAAGTCGCAATTTAAAGTGCTCATTTGGAGGCACTTTTGGTATATTTCAATTTATTCATATTTAAGTTTATTTAAGCGTAACCAATTTATTGGCATATCTTGCTGATTTTTTTTGGCTAGTGTTAGATCCAGTTTGAAAAAAAAAACAGGTATAATTAAAATTTATGGGTTTTGTTGTTCAGTTGTTTTTATCGCGAGGCTGTGGAAAACTATTGCATTTTGTATTTAAGCACAAATTTTGTATTTAAGCAACGCGCAACTTCAACCAAAAATCAAAAACTTCATTCAAACTCTTAGTGCACTCCATTTTGTCCTAAAAAACCCTTGACATTGATCCCAGAATGTCGAAACGACCATCAAAATCCAGCTTCTTTTCCAAACTTAGAAGACCTTGCGATCATTCAACCAGAAGAAAACAAAAACGCCCTCTCCGGAATCTGACCCGGAACCTTATCCAAAAGTTGACCTTCCTAGGGAGCAGAAGAGACGTCTCTGTCCCATTTCCAGGCTGCCTGCTGAACTAGAGTCATCTGAAGCCAAACTCGAGCCAAAACATGAATCTCCTAGCATCATGGGTGTTACTGACAATGAGCTTCCTCCTCTGCTGGCGTAGATGAAATCGTCAAGCGATTCGGCTTCAAAAACCGGCGTTTAACTTTTCTATAAATATTTATTGCATAAGATTTCAAAAATTGATGACTTGTTACTTTGTGGTTATTTTGTGTATTTTTTTAAATTCAACGTTTATTTGAACTTGTTTTTTTTGGAAAAATTAATGAAACCACCCCCTCGAAAAAATTTGACCTGGAATCTTAGATTTCTGCTGAGTAGCATGGTGCAGAAAGGTCAGTTTGAAAATTGGTTGTTCGAGACTCATCGTGCTTGCTACTCGTTGCCTTAGGTTGAGACAACGTTTCCCGGCCCAGATAGACAGAACACGAAAAATTACGTAGAATTTTCTTAGGCAGGGGCTGAAAACGGTTCTCTCTACTGAACTAACTGGCTTGTAGGTTGGTATTATCTCTTGAAGATAAGCTGCCCTGAATTAAATTACAGTTGAACTAGTCAAAACTTATGAGAAAAAGTATGTGAAGATAAACTGCCTCAGATGACTAGTCAAAAGAATTTTTTTTGTAGCCTAAGTCGCAATTTAAAGTGCTCATTTGGAGGCACTTTTGGTATATTTCAATTTATTCATATTTAAGTTTATTTAAGCGTAACCAATTTATTGGCATATCTTGCTGATTTTTTTTGGCTAGTGTTAGATCCAGTTTGAAAAAAAAACAGGTATAATTAAAATTTATGGGTTTTGTTGTTCAGTTGTTTTTATCGCGAGGCTGTGGAAAACTGTGGAAGATTTTTTTCTCAGAAACTACTATGCCAATTTTTAAAAAAAGGTACCAAAAGAAAAACCGGCTGCTCGTCTATGTGTTTGTATATTTTGCTAGTCTCTTTTCATTTTACCTCACTTTCTGCGGCCTTCGAAAGTCTCAGTAGGGGGATTTTTTGCCTATTTGTTCTAATTTTTTCATTTTTTCAAATATCAATTTCGCAAATGTGAGATAAAGGTGCCAATCGAAAGAACGAGTTGCTGAAATCTCCGCTTTTCAAATTTGGTAGAAAAAAGATGTGGCGTCAAACAAGTCCATTTTTGACATTTAGGTTAATTTCTAGAACTTTTTGACTTTTCTCATAAACTACCCTGCCAAACCGAAGATTAATGATTTAACCAAAAGAAAAAAATCGTTTATGCGAATCTTAACGGAGCAAACGGCTATGCTATGTGGTTTGAAAACGGTATGGCCTTAGAAAATTTCTAATTTTTGAAGTTTTGCCGGTTTTATGGAAAATTATTCTTTTTTTTTTTCAAAAACGAACCTGTTGATTCTAAGGTTTATAGTGGATTTTTGCTTGACTTAAAGTTTTTGCTTGATACTAACTGGATTTTTGCTTGACTTAAAATTTAGTTAATTAGAAGCGAATGTCAGTACTGTTTATTACCATAATTTATAAAATTACCAGCTCCGATTTTATTGGCTTTTTTTGCTCGGAAGATGACTTCGGCTTAATTGGTTTCGAGTTATGCTATATTGCTTTAACTGCCTCAAATTTGCATCGTTTGAAGGGCAGAATTATTTTTTGAGAGTTACATATTTTGAGTTAGTAAATTGAACGCTTCGAATTTCACCACTTTTTAGTTAGTTTTATTTTATGATCAATGTTTTTTTTAGTCTCAACGGGTCTCTGTCCCAGTGAATTTTGCCTAAAAGTTAAGTTGACGCTGTTAATAAAGCTTCAAGACTTGTTTTCCCAATTTCAATTTCATTCGCAATAATTGTATAAAACTTTTGAGTGGCTTTTTTTTCTTTGGTTTTTGACACTAGCGATCTTCAGTGAGTGTAAGTGTTATACTACGCCCATTCTTTCTTTTCTTAACCTAAGTCGCAAATATTGTTGCTACTTTTGGAGCACCTTTACGGCTTATTGGTAGCATGTGCTTTTACCTTCGAATATCAATAAGCATCAAATGAACCAAAAAAGTTATTTGTTTCAAACGACATAATGATAAAAACTTGATTTCAGCATTTTTATAACTCAATATATCTCGCTGAAATGCATAATATATACATAATGTGGCTTTATGCTTTCCAATTTGTTACATGCAAAATTAGTGTGGATGCCTTTAGTTTGTTGTATTCGAAACGATTACTTGCAAAATTAGTTTTAGCCGTTTCTTAAGCATTCGTGATCTAAAGGTCTGAAGCCCATACGTAGCTGAGGCTTATTTCTATCTTTTCTTAATTCACTTTATAAAGCAGCTTTTTGTCGTGTTCTCGCTAGAGTTTTCGCCTTGCCTCTAATTAAATTTATGTTTTTTTAAATGTTTTCATCTCATTTTCTGTCGACTAGTTAGTCATGCTATTTTTGTGGTGTTTCGTGATCGGTGCAGGAACGAAAAAGCTCAGGGTTCGAAAATAGCAGGCCTTTTTTTGCAGCCTATCAGTTGATCTATTAAATGTTTTAATCTATTCCTGTAATGATTAATTAATTACGCTTCCGATAAATTACTTACGTTCTATAAATACAAAGTTCAATGGTTTGAATCCGGCCAGGAGCTGTTTTGTTTTGTAAGCGGAAAATTGTCCTCGCGTCAAAAAATCTTTGTCGGACTTCCGTTTGTCTGGATTTCTTTATAGGCCTAGTTGCCTCAGCGTCAAATTCGCTTAAAATTCAGGCTTTTTAAAACTCAAATAAAAATAAAACGTTTCAGTTTATTCCATTGTAGGGCCACTTTTTGATTTGCCTGTTTTTTGCTATAATTTGATTTTTTCATGCTAATCAATAAAAATTTATTGTAAAAGTTGTTTTCTTCATAAATTTAAGGAGCGGTCTGTCCATATGGCGCAGTGGTAACACTCATGCTTGAGACGTCAAATCCCAGAAGTTTGATTGCAGTCGGGACCTGTTTTTGTGGAAACTAAAAATGCTCGATTATTTTAGACTTTCGTGTTATCTAACTTTTGTCGGCTTAGATCCCGCTGAAAGATTCGAAGTCTTTTTACCATTGAGCTTTTCTTAAGAATTCTAATGATGCAGGCTATTTGCTCCAGGAATGTTTTTCCTTTCGCAATTCTTATAACTTTTTGGCTAAAAAAAAACTATTTTTAAACGTTTCTTATTCAATTTTTGATTTGTCTTTTCATATGCTTTTAATCATAGTCATTCATTTTTGTATCACAATTGATGCGAAGCTCCGCTTTGCTTGTGGGTCGAGTCTCAAAAACGTTTGGTAAGCTTATAAACTGTTTTAATATGCAATTTTAGGACAATTATTTTGGTTATTATTTTTTCTTTCAATTTTTTAAAAAAATTTTTCACTCGCCATAATCAAATCGTTTGAAGTTATGATTGTGCCTGTTAGCAAAAATTTGAGAAAAAATCCGATTTGATTCTGTTTTTGCTCATGATCGAGCTCTAATGAATCATAAGTTTGTTAGAGAATGGCTGGATAAGGCCTACTCATGAAATTTGAAAGTTATTTTTGAAAATATGAGATATCGTTTTATGGTCCAGTTTTTCTACACCTGAATACCAGCATAAAGTTTTGTATCGCAAGTTATGCTAAAGCGCTGCTTCGCTTTTGTATTGTAAAATTGGTCTTAACCAAATCGCCTGACCAGGAAAAACAGTTTGTTCCCAACTCTTGCGATCTTCGGTTATCAGTTTTTGAACAAAATAAACATTGATTGTGAGGTATAGTTATGAGTCTTGTGAGTCAATAAAGTTGATTTGTGTTTTAGGAATGCAGAACTCCTTAATAGTGATCGTAATGATAGGAGCTGTTTTCAAACCACCCCAGTCTGATCTAAACGCCATCATTCCGGTCTGTGTAGCCTTCACAACCATATTGTCGGTTTTTGTTATATGCCTCATACATTTTGCTCTCCGAAGATACAACACGTGGTACCAAGAGGTGTGCGACCAAAATAAACAGGAGCAGTTGTCGCAACGGAGACGTTTTGAGGGACTCGGGCAAAGTATACGAAGACGCTTAACTTCTGTTTCGGCATCGATTAGCCTACCGATTCGCAGAAATCCCACTGTTCAGAAATGTCCGACAGGTCAAGAGGACAAAGAAGCCATCATTGAACTGGAGAAAAACTGAAACCAATCTTCTTGATTCTTCGCTTTTTTCTTGTTATATTTATTTGACAACCAATTATCAGAACTGTAACATTGTTTTTTTTTAATGAAGTTAGCTTAGAAGAAACGAGAAAAGTAAAGTTCTGGGATGGTTCTCCAATCATGTTTCCGATCAAAGAAAAATATCAGGGAATCTGGGTCGAAATGAAAGGAAAAGACTTGTGGAACGACATGCGAATAGTTTTTTTGTTCGAAATCTTCCATAAAAAAATGCGATTTTTTTTTCAACGCTTTTCAAGCAGCAATTTTATCCCTGTCAAAATTCGGCTCACACTCTTCCCTGGATAGAGATGATTTTTCCACTGATCCAGAATTCTAACAAAAGGACAGTGAAGATATTAGAAACGCTTTTCATGATAACAAGCCGAAAGGGCGATTTCCCTACCATTTAATGGGATGAAACAACATTTAACCCCTTACGCTCTGCTTACTCTTGTAAATAATTATGCCTCAATTTTGACAAAAAATTAGTTTTCTTAGAACCTTACGATGCAGTAAGAAAAAAAGTTAAGCAAGTTCATCCCAATTTTTTAGTAATTATTGAAATTTTAAGCCAAAAACATGAAAACTCTCGTTCAGCCGCTTATCATTAAAGCATCCTTATTTATAAAACTGTACATCAAACTACTCCGTTCAAGTTCCAAAAAAACAAAATTTCAAAAAATCATCGAAATTTGAAGAATTTATAACAACTAAGTTAGGCGAAAATAAAAGATTTGTTCAGTTTGCGGATTACGTGTATAAGAGATACTCAAACTATTAGCAGAAATGGTAAGATATGACCACACAACCGGTTACTTTAATGGTTTCAACTCTAAAATTGAATAAGAAAAATCTTTGAGTGAAGAAAACAAAACAAATGTTTAGCAAGTAAAGTACGATTAAGAGAAGCAAGCTAAAAACTGCATCAACCAGTGTCCATACTTGTCAACGAGGTTTTCACTTTTGTCAACGGGCCCCAACGGGCCTTACTTTTATTGACTAACCAATGTTATGTTTCAGTGCGCACTGTACAGCTTGCAGTGTGCTAAACGACATGACTACTACGTTCACTGCCGATTCACTGCAGAAACAAATTCGACGTGACACGAAGCACGAAATCTTTGCATTTGTGGAAGAAGACTGTTTGTTTTTGTTTTTTACCAAAAAAGCAGCAACGGGCCCCAACGGGCCGATATTTAATAAATTCCCTGTTTATCGGGCCGCCAACGGGCTCGACTTGAATTATATCGGGCCGGGCCTCAATTATGGCAGCCCGTTAACAAGTCTGCCGGAGTCAGAATCTCTTCAATACGTTTGCAAAGTCTGACTGACCCATCGATACTAAATTTCTTTATCAACATTGAGAATTCAAAGGTTTACAAGACTATTTTAGTGATTGACTCACCTAAGAAGCAAATGCTAATTACTTTGTATTAATTGTTTTTTGTATTTTTGACAATTTTGCTTCTTGACTTTTTCCCTTTTGCTTTTTTTTTTACGATTTTTGTCTTGGAAAATGAAAATTACTATAAATAATTTCACTGACAATTGTCAACAAAGATAAATTGAATAAACGTTCTCATTCGGCGCTTTCTAAAAAACTGTAAGGCTTTCCGCGTCCGTTCGAGTTCGGTGCTTGGTAAATGATGATATAAAATCAATTATCATTGTAACAAACCGTCATTGAGTACAATTTATTGTAAGTTGTAGATGCAGGCCGTAGTTTTCAAATTTTCAGTACCTCTTTGTAAAAACGTTTTCTTTTTTTCAAAAAACAGCCTAGAATCTAAAGTTGGAAAACGTCCCATTTGTGGAACATTGTTATCGAAAAACATCTGTGGGAAATGCAAGAACAGTTATAATATGTTATGTCAATCTACCAATTTGACTCCGTATTGGGTGTTGATTTATGCATCTTAATCTAAAGCTCCTTCTCATTTCAGTGTTAATGGGAACAGTCATGCATGCAATAAATGACGCTCGTGTTTCAAAAGAGAAAAAATCGGATTTTATTGTTTCGACTTCGGTTACGAAAATAACGAAAAATTTGTGCTCGGGTGGGTTTTTTTCTTCAGCCAAATTTCTACTTTTTAGCTAGCCAATTTTGACGGAAATTGTTTATTTCATTTGAAAGCTATTGTTGTCCTGAGCATAAATTTGAAATTATATTTCAACTGTGATTATTTTTCGTAAAGTTATGGGGGTTTAAAGATTGCCAGTTTGGCCAATTTTGGTCAATTAATGCGGGATATAATTCGCGCTATTAACGCCTAAACGGGGATTTAATCCAACTCAGAAATCATTCCAAACTGTTTGAAGGACTCTTATTTGCCATATTTGACATAAGTGATTTGTTAACAGGAGCAAAATTTATCACTTTGTACTTAATATGACTCATTTTTTTTTTTTTAATTTTAATTTATTACATTTAAGTTTTTCATGTTTTTACTGCTCCATAGACCTTAAAATGCAGTCGGAACATTCAAGGCTCCACCCTGATACGAGCAGTCTTCTTTAATTTTTTATCGATGAGCTGCAACATAACACTAACAAAGAACTATCGTTGAAGCGTTTATGCCTGGATTCAAACTTACGTCAAAGGCAGTATTTAAAGCACGGTAGGTACCGTCTTTAGCAAGCTGTTCCTTGACAAAAACCAAAAGCGATTACAAAAAGAACGTTCGGCCGTTATCTTCTAAAGAAAATATTCATTAAACAATTTTTCACATAGTTTGAAGTCTTCGCAAGTTCAGTTGGTTTTTTGGGTGGGCGCGGGACTTAAAATAATTAACGAAAAATAACGAAAACTAAAGTAATCTCAAATTGAGAAGCCTTAGTCCCTAAACTTAAAAAATCGCAATGCAGGGCTTCAATTTTATGAACTCCTCTGATTAATGCCATTAACCAAAATTTAAAAACAATTGGATCTATTTAACTATATCTCCCGTTGGGTACCTAAAAAGGAATCTACCCCTATAAAAAAAATCAACGGTTAGGTGTATTAGAATTTTAAACTTAGTTACGGATTCGCCCCTCTGCAAAAAGGAGATAAAGTAAAACAAATCCAAATGATTTTCTCCTAGTTCTGCAAATATCAAAATCTAAAGTAGGAAAATCTTCTGTTTGTGGGTTAATTTAATTAAAAACATCTGTGGGGAAGGCCAGAAAAAATTTAGATGATTTTACCTAAAATAATTTTACCTAAAACCATTTAACCGTGACCGGGTCGATTTTACCTAACAGCAGTTTATCTAAAGCAATATTAACCTGTATTTAAAACAAATTTTAACCTGTCAAATCGGAAACTTAGAAAAAACGCTGATTTTTGAAGCTCAAAATTACACCACAATTTGAAGCCTCAATATTTTAAACACATTTACACACCTAAAATTTAGGGGTAAATAGTTTACACCTTCACTTCTAAACTTTAAGCACCTGTAATTGAAGAGTCTGATAACACTTTTTTGTATTTAAGCACAAATTTTGTATTTAAGCAACGCGCAACTTCAACCAAAAATCAAAAACTTCATTCAAACTCTTAGTGCACTCCATTTTGTCCTAAAAAACCCTTGACATTGATCCCAGAATGTCGAAACGACCATCAAAATCCAGCTTCTTTTCCAAACTTAGAAGACCTTGCGATCATTCAACCAGAAGAAAACAAAAACGCCCTCTCCGGAATCTGACCCGGAACCTTATCCAAAAGTTGACCTTCCTAGGGAGCAGAAGAGACGTCTCTGTCCCATTTCCAGGCTGCCTGCTGAACTAGAGTCATCTGAAGCCAAACTCGAGCCAAAACATGAATCTCCTAGCATCATGGGTGTTACTGACAATGAGCTTCCTCCTCTGCTGGCGTAGATGAAATCGTCAAGCGATTCGGCTTCAAAAACCGGCGTTTAACTTTTCTATAAATATTTATTGCATAAGATTTCAAAAATTGATGACTTGTTACTTTGTGGTTATTTTGTGTATTTTTTTAAATTCAACGTTTATTTGAACTTGTTTTTTTTGGAAAAATTAATGAAACCACCCCCTCGAAAAAATTTGACCTGGAATCTTAGATTTCTGCTGAGTAGCATGGTGCAGAAAGGTCAGTTTGAAAATTGGTTGTTCGAGACTCATCGTGCTTGCTACTCGTTGCCTTAGGTTGAGACAACGTTTTCCGGCCCAGATAGACAGAACACGAAAAATTACGTAGAATTTTCTTAGGCAGGGGCTGAAAACGGTTCTCTCTACTGAACTAACTGGCTTGTAGGTTGGTATTATCTCTTGAAGATAAGCTGCCCTGAATTAAATTACAGTTGAACTAGTCAAAACTTATGAGAAAAAGTATGTGAAGATAAACTGCCTCAGATGACTAGTCAAAACTCATGAGAAAAAAAACGCGCAGACCAAATTAGTTCATATCTTTTTTTTTGGCAAATTAGTTCCTTGAAAGCTGTGGAGAAGAGCTATTTTTTTCCAATTAGACTCATAATTTAAAGGGAGAACACGCGCCAAAAAAAAGAAAAAAATGTGCTCAAAAACTTCTAATTTGCAAACGTGCAAAACTGCGAGTTGCCATCTCGCAGATACTTTTGGCAAAATGGGAACTTTATAGAGCTTTTGTAAGAAATCAAATCGGTCAACTGAATAAAATCGACCAGATTTTCGAATTTTTTTTGAAAAACCGCGCAGCCCCCAAAAGCAATTCATCTGCAGCTACTATCGTCATAATAATCTCTTCATCAAAGGTATTTTCTGAGCAGCTGATATTCCTAATTTATCATCCTCGATTGTTTGCAATTGTTTTCGTTCTATTATTTTCACGGTTTCACTTAAATTTCTCAGCTGAAGGTTGTGGTTCAATCAGCCGACATCTGATAAGCCTAAATCTCCAAAAATCATAAATATCAATTAGAAAAAGAGATGAAAATCGCTGAGCAAACAATCAAGATGAAAGTGAGTAAAACTGGGCTGTTCAAAGAAAATATCTTCATCAAATCAATTTTGGATTTTAACTTAAAATTTTATTCAGTCTATTAAAATGGGGAGCGGTGATGAAGTGGCTGCGTCATTGCCTGTCATACGTAAGGTCGTTTGGCTTGAGGCCCACAGTGATTCGTGCTTGTTGCTGCCTCGAGGGTTAAGCAACATTACCCAGCAGTAAAATAGCCAGAAATTAACCAGGTGTTCAACAGCAGTTCTTCTTAATGAGCTGAACCCGGGTTGACCAAAATGTGCAACCGTACGTCGCACCATGCATGGTTCCATGGAAGCCATGGAAAATTGCCGACGTATTTTTATGTTAAAATAACACATTTTCCATGCATGGCGCGACGTATGATTCCACATTTTTTAAAGTATGGGGGACTTCAAACTAGACAATATTGATACTTTTACTAGGGCTGTTGATAATTTATATGTCACCATGGAAGCTTGCAATGTATGGTTACTATGGTATCAGTAAACAGCTCATATGTTGGTCTTTTCCTTTGATGATAAATGGTCCTAAAACCTGCAGAGATTTTTCATTTTCTCCAAAAATTGTTGAATTTTTTTGATTTTTGGATGTAGCAAGTTTGCTCCGAATCGCAATAATAGAACAATACTGGCCCAACAAAAGTATATTTGAAAAAAAAAGAATTTTATATTCGATTTCAATCAAATTATGCTTTTCACCCGGCATCCTTTTCACCCGGCATCCTTTCATATTTCATTGACCTTTCTTTCACAGCTGCGTAAAATTCTCGCTGCAAACAAAGAAATATTGAATGCCTTTTGTCTTTCAAAGTATTGAGGAAGCACTTGAGAAAAACTTCAAAACCTTCAGCTCAAAAAGACTATTTATTAAATTGAAAGGTCATTTTTTTGTCACAGCGGTTGTATTATTGCAATTAAAAAGAAAAGAGAACGTCTGCCATGCTGCCGATGTTTCATTTATGGCTGAATTTTCTAGTTTTGCTGGGAAACTTCGGTACAATCTTTGCTGATGAAGTTCCGAACAATTTGGCTTTTATACAAGGTTACCCATGCTCGGAATTGGACATTAGGATTCAAAAATCCGAAAAGACTCCTTTTCCACGAGAATGCGACCAGCTCTGTGCACGCACTGGAAGTTGTGAGTCATTCACGTGGTCCCGAACAAACAGCTCGTGTGTCCTTTTCGCGACTACTCTGCAGAAGGAATGTTTCGTGCGAGATGACAACCAGTTTTGGTTTGCAAAGAACTTTGCAGCTCATCGTGGGATGTTTTCCGATTATGCAATATTGACAAAGAGCAATGGATATGGAGGTTTGGGAGTTGACCCTTTGTCTCCTTTCAGAAATTGCATCGTCCATGATGCAAAAATTTGGTCTGAAGCTAAACAAACGTGCAGTGAACTTGGACTCAAGCTTTTTTCGCCTGAAAATCTGGATCAGTTTTCAATGATCCAAAGCCAAAACTGTGCTGGGATCCCCAATGAGGATCTTTGGACTGGATATTACAGAGATCCAAACAATGTAGAAACCGGAGACATTTCGTATGCTTCGGAAGACCTGCGGATATTTCCGGGAGATCCAATGTGGTCTAAAAGTATGGAATTTGGAGGAAAAGAATGCGTTCTTTACAGTTCAAAACAACAAGAAAACTCACTAGTCGTTAAAAATTGTGCTTTCTCGTTCAAGTTTGTATGCATCGATGATTCGTTTCCCAGAACTTGCGCGAACAATGGAAACGTTCCACTGGGGATGGAACTTCTTCGACTGGCTTCGTTTGGTCCTATAAATGGTAACTACTATCGAAGTTTTCTATCCACTGCGCCCTGTGAGGAAAAACATGCAACTTTTGTGGGAAGTTCGACATACGTGGACGAGACTAACTTCAACGAAGTTCAAAGAGTAGCTCGACTTGTTGAACCGAATGGCAACTTCGACGACAAAATCGCTCTAAAGTTGAGCGATGAGAATTATCAAGTACTGAGAACGGTGCGTATAATAAAAACAAAACAAGCAAAAACGGAGGAAACAAAGTTGATGCTTATGAACTACCCGGGCTGAGGTGTTCGACTCATGATTCGACCGACACGGTCGAACGGAGTCCGTTTTTGGTCGCAAATTATAACGCTCGAACGAACACTATAGTCAAACAAAGTCGAATCATGGGTCGAACAGGGTTATATCACTACTTACTGCTGCGACCATTCTCAAACTCTTGCAAAGAACAAAGTACTTTGGCGTTGGGTGGATTTTTTTCGTGGGATCTTAGGGGCGTGACACAGAATACTTTGTGGCCTGAAACCGAATGGATAAGTGCGCTATTTGATTTAAATTGCTTACGCCATTTCATCTGCCCGAAAATAACAAAATTAATAATTTTTTATCAGCATTTTTTTCAAGGAGCTTGAAAGACTCAAATAGAGCGTAGTTTTGTTAAAATACATCACTTCAAGTACAATTTCTGGTCCAAAACTTTTTATTTTCTTTTTTTCTAGCCGGAATTACAGTCTTGGCTGGGACACCCTTTTTGGCAGGCGGACCTTAAGCGCGCCGAAAAAACGCAAGTTTTTGGTCAAAAACTTCCAAAAAGTGTCTAAAACGCCTCTTTCAGCCTGTTTTTTTTCAAAATTTTGCATGCGGGGCAGAAAACTTGGCTTGCCAAAACAAGCCCTGTTATGTGCTTTAGAAGACGACCTGTTTCGGAAAATCAAATTGGTCGCCACCTAAAAAAGGTTGAATTTTTTCAAAGCGTTTTTGAAAATTCGCTCTCCCCTCGAGAAAATTCTAGATCCAATCCTGATAAAAATAGCACAAAATTACCACTTGATAGCTTCAAATTATAGTCAAAATTGAATAGTTTATATTTATTGCTCCGACCAATTGAAAAATGGGGAGAAACTTTGTATTCAGTTGTTTTATTTTCTTTTTCTTAAATGATTTTTGTTTTCCACCCAAAATCTGGTACAACAAAAAATCACCAGATCGAGCCGACTGATACAACATTTTAAAGCCTTTTCATACTTGATTTGAACGGCATCAAAAATTCTTCGTTAATTTTCTCGGTATCGGGAAAAAACAGGTTTTCACTTTTCTATTTTTAGTTCAATTTCGAGCAGGTAAAATAAGCGAACAATTTTTTTGGATCAGGATAGGCCATGAAATAAAAAACTTCAACCATTCAAAAGTATCTCCAAAAAAAATTAAAAATAAAAGAAAATAGGAAAAAAATAAAATTTAATGTTGACTGAACTTTTGTGATTGTCGAAAATGCCTAAGGTTCAGGTTTTATCTCACCACGCACAAAAAACTACACTGGTTTAAAAGGAAAGAATTTACTTAAGCCTTTTTTTTTGTAAGAATATGTTCGGGATTTCTATCATTCTATGCTACAGCAACCGGCTATACTTGTTTCGAAACTGCATTAGCCTAAAATTGGGTACAATTGTCGACATAAAATTACTATTCCATTTAGAAACTTTTGGTACGAGTGGTCGTTTATCCCAATTGGTCGTTCAACACACCAAAAAAAAACATTTAAAAAAAAAAAATCTAGTTGCCGATGACAAAAACTTGGTCTCTCAATTGATTTCTTTTTTAAATAGAAAATTTAACCTAACTTTTGTGATAAAATGTTACTTTGTTGTAGCTAATTCTAAGTTGTAACTAATAAAAACAATAAAGGAATTAAAGTGAATTAGTCTAAAGTTAAAACATTAAAATAGTGACAGATCATTCTCTCCGCCGGAGAGAATGGCAAGTGAAGGTCATACGTGAGTGACCTGTTACATAATTAAGAAAAGTAAAATTAGCAATAGATGCAAGATAAAATACGAATCACAACATTCCTGTAAGCAGGAAAATTTTTAATTAGCGCCAAATAGGTAAATACAAATTAACTGAGTCTTTTCCCCCCTTTTTGGGGAATAGAGAAAAAAATTTATTGCACAAGAGTGAAAACGACTAAATGACTAAACTACGTACTAACAAATGGCACTAGGTAATGCGTAAGTAATTAACGATGGGATTATCCGGTATCCGACGGATATGACTTTAGAAAGCAAATATGTAGCCGCACGTCTAAGAAACAATTATCACCATGAGTTACCTGGTGATGGGGTTTGACGCCCCTAAAGATTAAAAATAACTGCAATCTGAAGGATCTTGAGGAGACAATTGAGGAAAAGGAAAATTACTGTTTAACAAATCCGAATGATTAGTATGTTTAAGGTAAGGTTGCGCAATCTGAGTATACAGACTTTAAGAATAGGACATAGTGAGATTTAGCAACAAGAAGTGAGAATGGAAGGTACTTATCATAGAAAACGGCACTAAGTTATCATTTACAATTTCTGTAATCGTTCAAAAAGTTTTCAAGTTCGGTATTGAAAAGTTCACTATCGAGTTCTGAGTGCTCGTCAAAATTTTCAACTACCATTTTCAACGGTTCGTCGGTGGAAGAGGTAGACATTTGATCGGGAGATGGAGAATCCGAATCAATAATCACTAATTCCGCCGGAGTTGTAGTATCGATAGGTTCATGATTGATGTTGTCTTCGATTTCTAGTACAATTGGGTTATCTGCAGAGCCAGAGGTTTCTTGAGGAAGATCTACAACATCTATGAAGTACTTTTGAACGTACAATTTTGGTGGTTCAACATTCTTACTAGAGCGTCGAATGGTAGGAGGGTCCTTACCAAGTTTGTTGGAAGAATCGAGAGTTGTAGAGGAATCTTCTGCAGAGTCGACTATTTCGTAGACCGGGAAGTCTGTTATTGGGTACTTTTCCGCTGGATTAGGCATGACTTGCAGCTCCTGTAGTTTGCTATTTCCAAATTCCTCTGCCTGAGGTGTAGCACTCTAGTCGCGAGAAGTAGAGCTTTGGCTTGCAGGGATAATGCTTATTGGGCATTCAGTAGTTTGGTCCCCAAATTGGTCTCCGTCTTTGTCACTGATGTCCTCTAAAACCTCAGATTTGATCTTATTATTGAGTAAATTAGAGTTAAAGCCGATTCCATTTGGATTATGATATCTGCATGAGTCCGAAATAAAACGCTCTCTGGCCACATCTCTACAAGGGAAACCGCCTGCTATCCATTCTCAATCACTAGTATCGGATATTTCCGAAGGAATTAGCATAGATTCATCCGAAGCGAGATAACCTGGAGGAGTTGTCGACTTCTTCGACTGGCGAGTTTGTCTCCGGAGTGGTTTGGATGATGGCCCTGACACTCGTGTCCTCGTCAAGTTGTCTGATGATGCCAATTAGACCTGCTTGCAAGTTTTTGGATGCGGCTTTCTCGATTTGGGTTTTCGTCTCGAACACTCCAGCGTCTGACACTGCTTGTGAGTCTGGAAATGCGGGAAGAACTTCTGAGAGATTTCAATCCCCACTTTCGGCAGGTTGTCATTTCCTAGGATATTTCTCTCATGTCCTTCAGTCAAGAAGAAATGACAGTCATTGTGTGACCAACCGTTTGAGAAGATCGGAAGTATCACCATTCCAGAAAAAATTATCGCGTTGTCCGTGAATCCACAATATTGGTCCTTGGTTGCTTTGTCCACCGGATAGATTTTCAAGTAAGGGTCTTGAAGTTTCAATTCGTGTAAAACGTTTTTCTTGAGGAAACTGACTGGGCTAGCTGAATCCACTTGAATATTTAAGATTACTTGATTTTCTTTTCCGAGGCCGATATTTAATAGTTTCTTCAGTTCTTTTCCGTCATCGTCGAAGATTGTAGTTACGTTTAATACAGAATAACCGTCGTTCTCGCTTTGTCCAGATTCCGACCATGCGTTTATGACTCCACAACATTCTCTATCTACATGGTCTGTATTTACATCTGGAATATCCGACGGATTAAAATCTGTATTATCTACAATTTGGTTATTTACAATGTTTACATTTCTACGACGGGATCTACAAAGTCTAGTGAAGTGACCTTTATATTTACATGAAGTACAGGTAGTGTCCTTTGCTGGGCGGGCAATCTGCTAGATGACCTTTTGAGAAGGTTCCGCCGCACTTCATACAGGTGTTGTTTTTTCTATATTGAGAGTTGACTCTCTTTTTACGTTGAAGTGGCTGTGTGGTTTATGTACGGATGATCCGTTGGATTTAAAATTGTTTGTCAGTTTTAGCTGGTTCAAAATTCCCTTTTCGTCAATGAGTGCTACATTTAGTGCTTCTCTTGGGGGGAGAGTTTCTGTTAAAAGCTTCCTTTGGGTATCGTAGTTTTTCATGTTGTCTATGAAAATGTCTCTAATCCACTCTTCTTCTCCTGCGGCTATGTCGCACTTTTTGGCCATTTGTGCTAAAGCACCCCAGAATTGTTCGAGGGATTCTCTTTCTCGTTGTTTTCGGTTTAACAATTTGTGTCGCTCGAATGTCACGTTTCTCTTTCTTACCAAGGCGGTTGCTAGGAAGTCCCAAAATTCTTTAAAAGAAATTTATAAAAATTTTAACCTCTGTGAATTTCTGCCCAAAAATTCTTTTTCCCTCGTTTCCTCAGGCCAGGTACAAGACTGATCGTAATTTTTTATCTGCTTCCTCTAACCGCATTCCATTGAATTTCTTGGTTTCGGATTTGATGGAAGCTGATTCCTCTTCGTCGTAGCGTCTTTGCTCTTGAACGTTTCGGTCCAATCTCGACTTTCTTTGGTTGTCCGTTTCACCGTCTAATGGATTTTCCAAATTAGGGGGTTGAGAATGATGTCTCTCTGAAGGATTTAGTAAATTTTTGATGTCTATATTTTCTTTAGCGATTATTGCTAAATGAAACAGATCGCTCCAATCTTTCCAGGGGATTGGGGGATCCACAGTATGGTTTTGCCAAAATGGAGGTATGCCTCTCACGTTAGATTCGTTATTTGACTGCGCCATGATAAAATGTTACTTTGCTGTAGCTAATTCTAAGTTAAAACTAATAAAAAGAATAAAGGAATTAAAATGAATTAGTCTAAAGTTAAAACATTAAAATAGTGACAGATCATTCTCTCCGCCGGAGAGAATGGCAAGTGAAGGTCATATGTGAGTGACCTGTTATCTAATTAAGAAAAGTAAAATTTGCAATAGATGCAAGATAAAATACGAATCACAATTTCTTCTTATAAATCACAAAATGTTATCTATTTCTTCTCTTACACTAGAAATAAACAGTTTCTAGATAAACCTAAACTAAATAATTTTTTACTATATTTCAAAGCTACCAGTTGGTAACTTTGCCTCTTTTTGTCTTATCTCTAAACTTTCAACTCGGAAACTGTCAAGAAATCGGCCACTCTTTAACAAATAAGCATACTTTTTTTGTTATCAAACAAAAAAATCTAGTTTATCATCAAAAATTGATTCACGCGTATTATACTACTCGTTCTAATTGAGAGCTCTGTGGAGCAAAGCAAAACAAGCGATCGCCACCTGCCAGTGCTTTTTTTCGAACACTCGGAAGAGCTCGCAAAAATTCAGAAAAGCATCAATTTGATAAGCTTAAAAGATTTGCCTTAATTCCTCCGAGCTGTCTACTTTAGCGGACTGTTTTTTTCTTTAAATTTGTAAATTGTTGCGAAAAAAACGACAATTTTTTGTCAACTGTTCAAAGAAATATGGCAAAAACGTGAAAAATCGTATTCACAAAATTCCTTTTGGTGCTCTGCTAATTTTTTTAAATTTAGCTTTAATAACAGGTATTTGTAACTAGAATGATACTTTTTCTATGATGTTGATGGCGCATCAAACAATGCTGAGGTGTTCTCGTTTGAAGTGTGGTAATAATTACCAAACACAAAATCGTTCAAATAAAAGCTAAGAAAAAACTTTTGGGCAAAAAGCTAACTTCGCTATCGAAAAAGAATAGTTTTCCATGTTTTAGAGTGGTACTTTTTAAGTTGCATAAATATTACTTGGCTGAGTTTCAGGGAAAAAGCAGTTTCTACGACCCAGATGATGATGCTGATGTGTTGCACCTGTGCAAGACTGATTTCTTCGCAAGCAGGCAGATGGTCCGTCTCTCAGACGCTCAAACCTTTTGCGCAATGTACTCGGGTGAACTGTTTCCAAAACAGGACATCAGCCAAGAAAGAATGGCAACATTGCGGGCAATGGAATGTGATTGGTCACTTTTCAAGGACGCTGATGAAGGTAAAGTAAATACTTACTTGAAATCTACAGCTGTTGTTTAAGTTCTACGAAGAAAACACTCAAATCCGAGATTTTTTGGCACTTAACTGCATGTGAGTCAATGCGATGTTTTAACGACACATTAAGGCGCAAACATCGTTTGGTCGGTTTTTCACACAACACATGCATGTATGTACAACAAAGTTAAATTTGTATGAGTTGAAAGAGTTTTTGTTGTTTCTCTCTCAAAATTAAAATAAATTGGCGACAAAGGTGTCTTTGGAAATTTTTTTGGGTTGGTTTACCAGATATGGTTGTCGTGAGTTAGTGCTCTTTAATCATCAAAAATGAAATTCAGGATGGAAGCGGTCGAATTACTACCGGCTGAGGAGTTAGAGCAAAAACCGGCAACGAGATTTTTTGCTTTTCGTCCAATCAAATAAGACCTTGTGATCACTTTTTTAACAAAACAAGATTCAATTCTTTCAAAAGTGATTGACGATTCTCATTAAAAACTGCGCACACAGACAGTTTTCTCAAATAAACAACAATAACAAAACATTATTTATCTATAACTTTTTAAATTTAAGACTTTGAGAAGTTCAAATAACTTAAATATTTAAGTTCAAAAACAATCCTTAATTGATTTATCGCGTTCTTATTCATTCCAAACCCTTATTTGTGGAGACTTTCGGGGAAAAACAATAAAAAATAGCAATGAAAACTTTAGCTATTTAATTACCAAACTGGATATAATACTACTAAAAAAATGCAGGAAGGAAAAAGGAAAAGGCAAAACGAAGCAGTTTTCTCTATTTTTGAGCAATGTCTAACATTTTTTGGAAGTTTGAAAATTTGATTAACTTGAATATTTAAGATAAAATAAAAACCTTTTATCTTTTATTGCGTTCTCATTGGTTCTAAATCTTTATTTGAGACTTGTGGAAATAAGCAGTAAAAAATAGCATTAAAATTTTGTTTTTTAAATAACCAAACTTGGTAAACACTACTAGAAAGAAAGCAGGATGAGAAAAAGACAGTGCGAAACGAAGCAATTTTCTCTATTTTTGTGCAATACCCAAAATTAAAAATTTGTGAAATTCGAACACCTCAAGTATTTATTTTCGAAAATGATCCTCAATTGTTTCATCGCGTTCTCCGTAATTCTAAACACTTTTGAGATTTTTGGGAAAATAACAAACAAAACTAGCTATGAAAAGTTTACTTATTTATTTACCAAAATTGGATTAAAATTACTAGAAAAACGAGAAACAAGTACAGAGCTAAACGAAGCAGTTTGTCCTATTTAAGTACAGAGCTAAACGAAGCAGTTTGTCCTATTTTTGCGCAAAACCTAAATTTAAATTTTTGAGAAGTTTGAATAACTTTAATATTTACGTCAAACAAACCTTCAACTGTTATATCGCGCCTCAATAACTGTAAAACCTTAATTAAAACCTTGGGAAATGAACAAAAGAAAATAGCAATAAAAACTTTACTTATTTAGTTACCAAATTGGATTAATACTACTAGAAAATTGCAAGATGGTAAAAGGAAAAGGCAAAGTGAAGCAGTTTTTGCTTTTTTTCAGCAATAACTATATTTAAATTTTTTGGAAATTTTATCGCGTTCTCATTATTTCTAAGTCCTTATTTGAAAATTTTGAGAAGAAAAAAAGAAAAAGAAAGCGCTAAGAATTTTACTATTTTGATGACCAATTTCGAATAATACTACTAGAAAAATTCAGGATGGAAAAGGGAAAAAAACGAAAAAGAATTTTTCTGCAATACCTAAATTTATAATTTTGGGGAGTTTGAATTACGCAAAAATGTTAAAGCAAAGATAATCCCCAAATGTTTTTTTGCGTTCTCATTATTTCCATCTTCTTTTTGAGACTTTTGAGAAATAACATATAAGAAATAGCCAAGAAATAGCCATGAATGTTCTACTTATTTATTTACCCAACAAGATTGAAACTACTAGAAAAACAAAGGATGAAACAGGTACAGAGCTAATGAAAACAGGTTTTTCTGTTTTTTGCGCACTAACTAATTTTAAAATTTTGGGATGTTCAATAAACTTGAATATTTATTTTCAAAAATAATCCACAATAGTTTCATCACGTTCTTGGTATTTCTGAACCCCTTTTTGAAACTTTTGGGAAATGAACAATAAAAAAAACAATGACCTTTTTATTTAACTAATTACCATACTGGAATAAAATAATTAGAAAAATGAAGAATGAAAAAGGAACAGGGCAAAACCAAGCAATTTTCCTTTTTTTGTGCAATACCTAAGTTTTACAAAAACGAGAGAAAATACGCTCTGAACTAGTGTTTAGTTTGTTTTTCTGCAATTTCCAAACGCGGTTCTAATATTTCAGATTTGGAGTTTCATGATTTAGATTTAGACTTTTGCTTTTGATTTGGATTTAAACTCAAGAACTGATTTAGAATTAGCCTGCTTTCCCAAAATTGAGCTCTTGTTCCATTTTTAAGAAGAATAAGAATAGCACAAACATATTTTATAGTTTTTTTTTAGTCAACATGCGAAAACTATTTCGAAACAAGGATAGCACGTTACTGTGCAAAAAGCACAGAATGTTCCGACCATAGTCTCAAGATTCTCAAAACGGCGTTAATAAAACTCCAAAAACTAATTTCACTCCAGTGAAAGTAAAGTGAAGCATTAAAAAGCTATTGTAAACTGCGTAACTTAATCATAAATAAGCATGCTTACTCGTTTAACCACCCGATTTTTAAACAAAAAAATTGAAACCGGTTTTTCTGAACACTGGAAAAAATTCAAAAATTTTGTTGGAATCACGACTGAAAGAGCTTTAAAATGAAATAGCTTTCGACCCAATACGATGATTATGTGGTAACTGATTTTGCGTTGTGATCCCATGTAGAAGTATAACGATTGTGATCCCAAATTGTGATCCCATGTAGAAGTATAACAATATTTTGAGTTTGCGTGTAGCAAGGTAAATGAAACCGACTGAATTCCATTTATTCGCACCAAACACCAGAGCTTATTACGTACAAGTTAAGAATGGTTTGAACTGAGCCAAGCCTGGATCTGATTAAATTTTCCACGTTTTGGTCTTCATCAGCGAGGGTAACTTGCCACAAACCAGCAATACCAAATCTCACACCAAAATGAAAACAAAAATGAGCGGGTTAAAATGTCAATTAGAAAATAATAAATCTACAAGTTTGTTGCAATCTAATTAAAATAATCAATTTTGATTTTCGTTTAAAAAAACCCGCATATTGAAGAGTTTGATTGCCAAAGAGGAAGATCCTGCTAAGTTCCAAGGATATCAAAAAACATGAAAAAACGCTTCTGGTACTTTTTCCGAGAATTTTGTTCCCGCTTTGGATTAAGCCTATTTCTGACAGTGTGCTATAGATAAGACAACTTCCATCCCGTAGACTATTTGATGCACTTGCTGTTGGAAAAAGATTTTGTCTCAAAATGAACCGTTCTAGTCTACATTTTTCATAATCAGAAGGATAGGATAGGATTCGCTCTGTTTTTCTCAAGAAATGCAGCATTGGTGTTCATTGTTACTATAACTTGTCTCACTGTTGACGATTTGGTTTCGCCGATGGCTTGGTATTGGTTCATATCATGGTAAAAGGAATCAAGTTTCGTTCCACTGGATATTTCATACGGGTTATCAGATTCATACAGCTATGTTCCAACGTTTGGCGCATCGAAGAGAATGGAATCAATTTAGATAAATTGTGATATCTACCAGTCTCGTCAGCTATGGCATTAAAACCTAGGAGAACATGTACTTGTGGATTAGGGAAAAAAAATATTCTCATTTGCAGTCAAAAAAATGATTATACTATTTGTGATATCTTGTGGGGTCGTCTGAAAGTACATTTTGTCTTTGAGTTTCATTCTAGGTTTACTGGTGAATTTTTAAAACCTAATTTTTTTCTCTTGCTTTGAGAAAATTCTTCGATAAAGTAATGTGTCGGTAAATTGTAATCCGATTGTCTACATTAGTTCTACTGGCCATTATTTCGGCTGCTCTTCAATTTAAAATTCCTTGATCAGTAGCATTGTTTCGACCATTTGGGAAATGAGAGGAATTTTTTAATCGTGCTTAAAATAATTTTTTTTCTTTTTATGTTGAGTTTTGTTTCTAGCTTGCACAAATGAACTTTACAATATCATTACCAATAAAAATTTACATGGGATATCACTTTCGGATTATAAAGAAAAAACACTAAATGAGATCACTGTAGGGATCATGCCATTTCATATAACTAAATATTTCTGCGATGATGAATCTCCCAATTCTCGAGAAATTTACTGATTTTACTAATTAGATTCCGAAGAAAATCTCTTGCAAAAAATCTTCAAGTTTGCGCAAAGACAAAAGCCGAAAAAATTTTCAAGTTTGCGCAAAGAAAACAGCCACAGTTTTTTTTCCTAAAGCTTGATGAGTTCTAAACATAATTTGATGCTATAATCTTTACAAAATTGGCGTCGAAAGTTTTCAAACTTTTAATAATGAAAACTTGAAACTAGAAATTGTTTAAATACCCCTCCGCCTCAATGGTACTTCACTAAAAATTTCTGCCGCAAAAATGTGAATATTGCAACAACTAAGCATCATACAAAAATTTATAAAAACTCCTTTTTTAGATATCAAGTTTAAAAAAGTTTGATATTCTTTTTTGTGCTACCTGAACTGAAACTTTCTCTTTTGTTTTAAGGTTCTGCAGGTCTGGCTTTTCACATGACTGATGAAACTCAGGATGGACAATCGCAACTTCTGCTGGACAATTTATGGGAAGAAACTGAAGACTTAGAGACTAGTTAGAACATTTTTGTTAAAAAAAAACAATTTTTCAGTTCCAATAAATGTAACCTAACAAACAGAAAAGGTTTGTCTAATATGGTTTTCGAGAGACATTAAATTTTCAAAGAAAATTTGAATCAGCGGTAGAAATTTTTTTAAAAATTTTTTCAAGTTTATCTTTTTTGTTCTGTTATCACTGGTATGGTTATTAAGTTCTAAGTGTTCTGACGTTCTCACGATAACATGTACCCAAAAAGGGGATCAAAATATGATTTGTTAATTGCTTTGTTGCCGGATAGTGTTTTTGAACTGAATCATTGTGTTTTGATTTCAGTTGGTAATCAGTTTCGTCACGCCCTCTGTCAGGTTTCACAAATTCAGACAAGCTCCAATCAAGTATGGATTTTTGATGGAAATTACGAAGACGACGACTCATCACAATTGGAGAATTATCACAACTAGAGTTAATGATATATTAGTTATAGACTATAATTCAATATTTGTTTCGAAGGAGTTTATTTACATTCGTCTGTTACAAATATAAAATCTTGCAAAAATTTTCCTTAATTTTTTTGTTGAAAAAAATCTGATGCACTCAAATTTAATAGAAAAATTGATGCCTTTGAAGATTGCTTAAACTAAACAAAATAGTGTCAACCGTAGTTCCATGAAACTGGCTGAACAGGAAAAAGCTTCCATTTTTTCGAAAATCAAATATTTGAGCATGCTAGCACAATTATTCTCCAAAAAAAAATCATTTTGAAAAATTTATTTAAAAGATTATGTTAGACATTTAATCGTTGAAAATTTTCCAAGAAACAATGAAACATTTATAAAAGTTTGGAAGTTTGTTTTTGTACGCATACATCCTACCCTCATTAGAGGTTCATGGGAAATGATGAATTTTGATGAACTATATCAGAAAAAAATTTAACCCCGTTAATTGATTTTCACGACTCGTTTAACCATGACACTGGATTTTTCAGAGATTTGAATCAATTGTTTTTAATATAAGAAAATCTAATGAAAATCTAATGTAATCGCGATTATAATCCATTTTTCTTTCCAATTTAATTTCAAAATATTTTGTCCATGAAACTTAGGAAAATCGATTAAATTTGGGGGTAGATGTGAAAAGTTTTCTTTCTTTCTTGCGAGAGGTAGTGCATGTGGGTGGGGGTAGTTATAAAAAAAGCTAAAGAAGACTGAAACTGCAAAAAGATGGGTTTTCCAACTTTTTTTTTTGTTTTCCGAAAAAACACTGACATCAAGAAAATGAATAAAACATTGGATTACAATCTAATATTTTGTGATTACAAAATATTTTTGTATGTACACTGACAACAAAATTGCAATATAACTATGTGTTATCCATGAAACTCCAGGGGGGTAGCTACATCATTGTTTTTATGTTTTTATATATTTCCTGAGTTTAAAAGTAGTATGTTTTCTTTTTGACTTGAAAACAATTGAAATGAAATTGAAAATAGAAAGAAAATCCGAATAGTTGTTGACAAGGAAAAAAATAAACAGCCATAAATTACGGACACTATCAAATATCACATTAGCAAATTTGTGCCGCACGAAAATTTTACGACCGATTAGCTTAAATTTTGAATGATTTTGTAGAGTGGGATGATTCGCCGCATGTAAGAATAAATCGCGTTTCGCTTTCAGCATCAAAAATAATTTCTTCACAGAGCGCATAATTTAGTTGAACGCATGGCCAATTTGGTGTTTTTCAAACCGTCAAAACTTAGCAAAAAAACAACTGAAGCTATAGAAAAACAATGAGCTATAGAATTTTTTTTGGAAAAAAACTCTTGTTTCGATTACCGAAACTTGACTAAAACATCTTCCCAATCATAAATATTCCGCATTTCTTCGAACGTTGGAGGAACAATTCATATTTGGTCTGTAACGATTTTGGATTAATGTTTTGACCAGGTGGTCAAACCAAATGCCAATTCAACCAAAGTTCATGGTCAAAATATTTTCAATTTTGGACCCGGAAACTTTTTTTAATTGCGTTTTCAGCGAAGCAATGTGATCAAATTCTCGGAAAAAAAGTTACATCTTTGCATCTACAACTTTTTTTTCTTTGTTTTTTAAAACTTTTTATACCAAAAAAAGACAAAGCTATCTTTTTAGAATAATTCCCTTATAATACTAAAAAAAATTGAAGCAATTTTCAACGGTAATAACATGAATCACTTCCGGGACGGGAGCTATACCATGTGAAATATTTGATCTGAAGAGGCGACAAAAACGAACTTCCATGCTTCAGGTCACAAATATTTGTCCCGCAGCGAAAAAGACTTGATTAACTAATTTACAAACGTGCACGTATTAGGAGGAGAATCACAACGTTTTGCATTGCCAATTTTTTTCAGGCCTTTCTCGAAAAAAAAGCTAGTTTTACAATTTTGAAATAAAAAACGTGTTGTGTTTTTCAGAACTTCAAAATATGAAAAAATTCATTAAAACAGCAAAATAAGTTAGGCATATGTCTGCATTAATCGAGTTTAATCAAACTGCGGCTAATTTACAAACAGAGAGCAGACAGAAAAGCAAACAGTCAGAAGGCTTCGCAACACCTCAATAACGGACACGCAAGTATAGCAGAGCAATCTAACGAACAAATTTGGAGACAAACCTTAATAAAAGTTCAGAAAAACGGCCGAGAAACACAACCACCAGTATTAGAACAAAACTTTTCTTCCGCGGAGTCTACTAAGCCGACAATAGCCGACTACTGCGCTACATCTAAGACCAATCAAAATGATCGTTGAAGTTGTTTAGATGAATCAATTTATTCGCAGCCCAACACACAGACTTGGCAACATATTAGGTTTAGTTTTCCACTCCGATGTTGAAGAATGGGATTATTATGTCCATAAAATCCAGATCTCTGATCATTATCCAATTCTGTTTTACCGTGATATTCAACAAGCCAGGCCGAGAACCAAAAAAGTTTTCAGCGTTCAGTCTTTTGACCAACAAAATTTTACTGACTCACTTAACATCGACTAAAGTTTTTTGAATTCCAGTTTTGATCTTCTAGGCAACTTTCCAGAAAAAAAATATGCACGTATCAAAAAACTGCGCTGGATTTTTCAATCCGCCTGAAACGTGAAAAACGGAACAAATTCCCATTTTATCACGCCTCCATAACTATTCATAACCTTAACATGTTGAAAAGCTCTAGGCGTCGCGCGACGAAATTGATCGAATCAGACTACTTGAAAACGAAACTTAAAGTCTCATAAAATGGATCACATTAATTTGTTCTCTCGGCCGAGTACATACACAACCACAAAAGTTTTTATCTGCTGAAAACAAAAAACTCTGGAAAAATTGTTTCCGTCAAATATGTTTTTAAACGCTAAAAAAGCATTCACAGATTACGAGAAAGCGCAACATTTTAACTCATATTTCAACTCTGTTTACCTCTTAGGCCAGGCATCTAATTACTCTCCTAAAAATTGTAAGCAGCCTGTAGTTATTTTAAATCAATGAGTATTAAAATCGAAGGTGTTCAAAAACGGTTATGTCGATTAAGGTGTAGCTCTGCAACTGTCTGTGATTCTTATGTTTACTCTTCGTTTAATTATAAACTTAAACAGAAAAAGCCTGAAATATGGAAATGCGCACACATAACGCCAGTCCAAAAACAGGAATCGAAAGCTTTTATTGAAAACTATCGCCCATTTTCTTTGCTTACTAAAATATCTCTTATTCTTGAGAAATTTCTTTTTGATCTTATATATTTTGCTGTTGAAGATAAAATCAACTATCGTCTACATGGTTTCCGTATAGGCTACTCAACGGTCACCCACGTATCGATGTTTTTAAATAAAAGTTATCAAAAAAATTGTAGTTTTGAATTTGCCGTTGTTTATCTAAATTTTAGCAAAGCTTTCGACACAGTTGACCACTCTCTTCTCTTTTTTAAATTAATTAGATTTGAATTTGATGAAAATGTTGTTGATCTGTTGTCTTATCTTAAACATCGTTCTGAGAGGGTGACAGCACTTGTGAAGTTGTGCAATAATTCAGCTGCTACAAGTGGAGTGCCTCAAGGAATTGTTATGGGACCGCTGTTTTCTTCATTTTCATTGACAATATGCTTGATTTACCGGATTTTTCAAGTTGCACTTGTTAAGCCGATGACACTAAAATATTAGCAACAGGATCTGACCTAAATCAACAGTCGCAAGTTAGTTTAGATGTCTTAAATTTATATAACCGTTATACCGATAATCAACTGAGTTTTAACAGTGAAAAGGGTTTTCTTCATTTTATTGCTACTAAAAACCAATCAAAATGATCGTTGCCGTTGTTTATCTTTTTTGGTTTTCTAGTCTAGTGTCTGCTCACTTCGTAAGGTAGAACAGTTTAGCAGGGACTTAGGTGGTCATTTGGACGGTTACTCTATTGTTCTCTTTGAATATTCGAATTCCTTGCCAATTTCTTACCAGCTCATCGAATTAGATATCCGCTTTTTTTACTAACATCTTATTAAGGCTCAACTGCATTCTTTTTGATAATTTTTTCTGCCTTGCGACATCGGAGAGGAATCTTTGGTCCACCCAGATTTTTCTATTGAAGCATCGGCTTGTGCACAAGCAGTTAACAAATTAGTCTTTTTCTTCAGAATTATTGATTGTGTGAACGATTTTGTTCATTTATTCGACATCAACGTAATCAACGAGAAAGTTCAAGAATTTTGTATCTCCGATTTGAGCAATTGAATTCTTCTTACTATTACTACTTACTACTACTTAATGTGTGGAGGTAATTAGATTTTTTCAACATTGCCTGGTATTGCAGACTTTCTGAAAGTTTCGAGATTCTAGGATAAAATCAGCTGAAAGAAGATTTCTTTCACGTACCAGTTTTTGATTGCAACCCTACTGAAGGTAATACTAATTTTTCAGGAATTTCTGTAAACAACATGCTTGGTACGAACAAACCTTCTGAATTCAGCAAAGAAGTTTTTTACATTACGATTTTCGGAAATAAAAGCATGGAAATTTTTCGCAAACAATGAAAAAATAACCTTTTCAATTTTTCGAGCTGCTCAAATTAGATAACTTTACGTAACTCAAAACAAACTGTTGGCTTTTTCAAATACTAATTTCAGAAAAATATTGGAAATTGTGCACAAGAAAGCCAAAAAAAGTTAGCTTGCTTGCAACCGAGAAAACTTTATTTGTTTTGGGTGCCAGTCAAAATTGCCTAAATATATTTTTATTCGTAATGGCCCTCTTTTGTTTACAATCATACCGAACCACGCTCTGAATTTGGGCAAAATAACAAATAGTCTGGTTTAGGTTCGTTCTTTGATACATTGATAGTTTTTTTTTCAAAAAGATGTTTTTTTAACAAAATACAATGTTTCTTAATCCGCCTAATTGATATGAATCTCAGTCAAACTTCAATTGCAACGGTTTGCAGCGCCAATATTTGTTCTCTTAATCAAGCGACTGGTTCGTGCGCACGTCTTAATTAACGAATTTTCTAATTTTCTGATTAAAATGGAGTAAAAGTTCTTTGTGCGGTAAATGATCAGTAGTGTGTCAGTTAAGTAGCAAGTAAATTGTGTAGGGGTAAAATTAACTTGGCGAAAAAAGACGATACCGGTTTAGTATGAGGTGAGAATAGGCAGACAACATTCTCATATAGAACTGAAGAAGCAACAGTCATTTTTAGTTCTCAACTCAATATCTTATCTTTTTTTAATATACAGAGAGATTAAATTTTGTCGCTCAACATAAGTTGGAATCACTTTGAGCCCAATTAAGAGCTTCTGAAGATTTCTTTGAGATGGAAAACTTGAATGAATTCATGTGTAATTTATGTAGCCACTGTTTCCGTCCTAAAACAACAGTATTCGGAAAAAGGTAATTACATCAATTTTTAAATTCGAAATTGAATCTGTTCATCTAATACAAACGGGATTTATATAAAACTACGACATGCATTCAATAGAGTCTGCGTGAAAATTTGTAATTTAAAATTGAGAAGCTTTCTTCTATTGTTAAATAAGATTCCAAAATAAGAACCAAATGTCGAAATGAAGGTAATTAAGCAATGTCATCAAAACACAAAACGAACACTGAATGAAAATTGAGACACCATTTAGAGACAATTTGAGATTGAATTCAGTTGAGCTCAGCTCAGGTCTGAAATTCACTTTGAAAGTCATATGTATGATGAAAGTTAAAGCATGTTATGCAAACGTCTTGTTTTTCCTCTTTCTAGCTTGAACAAAAATAAATAAAATTATGTAAGAAGAGCGTAATTTTCAGTTTTTTGTAGTTTGTCCAGACCCAAAATACATATATGTTCGATAGCTTTAGTTCGGCTCTGTTCCCATTTCTTTCTAAGCGGCCGAAGTTCGCGAAGAGAAGTGCTGCGAGGCATTTGGGTGATGATTTTGCAGCGACTGGTGGGTCCGAGGATCCACCATGTTTCTCGGGCTGTAAGATCTCGGCGCTCGGAACTCCGAGGGCGACAGAAGAGCGGCTGCAGTTGACGTTGATCCCACATGAGCACCTGATGATGATGTGAATCCCCCATGGGGCACTGTACTCATAGGTCTAGGGGGGATGAAAGGAGCTGAGTCGCCGGTTGACGAGGAATTCGGACTACTAGTGTTCATGTAGTGCTGTTCACTTTCCTCGAGAAAAACCCCAGAGTCGGCTTGGGTCTTGCGACATAGCTCGGACGGGGAGTTTGTCGGGTAAGACGAATCACTGCCGGGAGGTGAGAGTAATAGGTGGTTGCCTAGTTGTGATGGGATAGCGATGTGAGGGTTTGTACCCTCTATTAGAGGCGGGTAATAGGTAGGGATGATTGCACGAGGCATGGAGTCCAAGTCTAGCTGAGGGTGGGGCTGGGATTGATGATGATGATGATGCAGATGATTTTTGTTTGGGTGTGGGTAAGGGTGCATGTGGTTGAAGGAAGCATCGAGAGGTGTCGAGAATGTTAGCTTATTCTGAGAGGGGTCCCGATGATCCTGATGATCAGCCGAGTTCCGGTTGCTTCCGGACTGACTGTGAGGTTGACTCTGGTTTTGAATTTGGTCTTTGTTATTCAGTTCGTTGCTAGCTCTGTTTTGATGGTAGGCATTTCTGGTTGAATGTTGGCTGCTGGAAAAAAAACTTTATTTCAAACAATTGATGGATTAAAAAAAGCTCGCACTTAAAATAATTTTTGATAAGTTTCGCTCTTTTCTATGCCTTATATTCTAGAATAACTCCTCTAGAGTAGTTCTGACCGAAACAAAAAGCTTACCCAAAGAAGTTATTGAGTTTCATTGAGAGCTGAAAACATGAATCTTACTTAGATCTTCTGATTCGGCGTTCGTTCGAGGCTCTGGAGAGACCTGCTCCCGTGTTTCCACCAACAGTCGACGGATTCCTAGAAGACTGCTGTTGTGCCTTCATCAAGTCATGCACACATCTCACGATTGCACGTACGAACTGTCTTCTCGTCTCGTTACTTCGACTTAACATCTGGAAGTGCTGGTTCTTGCACATGTGGAACTCAGTTCGACTCGAGATAAGTTCCCAGAGGAACTTTTTGGATCCCTCACTTGGAGTGTCCTTCTTTTCCTTACAGAGACTGATGGTACCCACTGGTATTAGAGCACGCACTTTGCTACACTCTCCGTCCGCCCCTCCGGCACCATTTCCGGAACCAGATTTGTTCTTCTCAGGGCCTGGGAGGGTCAGCCGACGTTTCTTTTGTTTCTCCTTACCCCCATGTTGGTTTCCGTTCAGTTGGGGTCCAGGGAGCATGACGACTGCCCTTTTAAAAACAAACATCATCACCTCCACTTCCGTGCCCCCTCCCGAACCCGAGGCTGAACCAGTTCCGCTGTTGCGCATCTTCCGAGGCACTAGCTCTTCCGGACAGTTAGCCCAGCAAGCACTCCCGTACATGAGCAGTTCGTCCATTGGTAACTCATGGATCTAAATATCATTTTTCACAGCAATTATTTTGTTTCTACAACACTTTTGCCAACATATACCAGATGTAAATTAGAGAGAAATAAATTAGAGGGAATTTACACACAGGAATTGTTTTGAGCTCAGAAGGGTTTTGGGACAAGCTATCGCCGTTGATATATAAACCAGCCGAAGTATGAACCAACCTAAAATGCGCAGAGTATATAAAGCTGCCGAAAATACGCAAGTGTTATAAAACAATTTTGTGACAGTTATGAAAGTTCTGCAAATTTCATTTATATGATGTAAATTTTTGGCTGGCTTAAATACTGCGCGCATTTTCGGTTGGTTTATACTTCGGCTGGTTTATTTCCTCTCGCTATCGCCATAGTTTCGAATGGCACAAATTCACAAGATACCAAGTGATTGCCATTTATAAGACAAACTTTTGTTCATACGGATCAAGAAATGTGTGAAAGAAATTACTATTGTTCCGACTTTCGATACGAAAGTAACGGAATATTTGTGCTCGGGGTGGGTTTTTTTTTTCAGACAAATTTCGACTTTTTAACTAGCCATTTTGGCTCTTTTCCAGTTCCCCCCCCCCACCTTTCTTTCAAATTCAATTTTGAAAAGCTTATTTAGCGTTGTCATAATGCAATGAAATTTGGCGTGGTGAACGAATCGACAATTTTGAACAGATTTGTTCTTCATACTTAACAGCGTAACATCACGGATTTAGCCGTAATAGCACGTAAAACAAACATAAAACTCGGTATTTTGAAAGGGGGGAACTGGAAAAGAGCCGCCATTTTTGACGGAATTCTTTTATATCATTCGAAAGGTATTGTTGTCCTGAGCTAAAATTTGAAAAGACATTTTACCTGTGATCATTTTTCGTAAAGTTATGGGGGTTTAAAGATTGCCATTTTGGCCAATTTGGGACAATTAACGCGCGATACATTTCGCGCTATTAACGCGTAAGCGGAGAGTTAATCCGTCTTAAAATCGTTCCAAATTGGTTAAAAGAAGCTTATTAGCCATAATTGATTGGTTAAAAGGAGCTAAATCTATCTTTTTGTACTTTAAATGGCGTGTGGGGGGATGATTTTCTTTAAAAAATTTCAAATTTAAAAAAAAAATTTTTTTTTAATTTTATTACATTTAATTTTTTAATGTTATTACTGCTCCATAAAACCTTAAAAGGCAGTCGGAACATTCAGGGCTTAGCCCTGATACGAGCAGTCTTGTATTTTTTAAAAATGTTATTACTGCTCCATAAAACCTTAAAAGGCAGTCGGAACATTCAGGGCTTAGCCCTGATACGAGCAGTCTTGTATTTTTTAAAAATGTTATTACTGCTCCATAAAACCTTAAAAGGCAGTCGGAACATTCAGGGCTTAGCCCTGATACGAGCAGTCTTGTATTTTTTAAAAATGTTATTACTGCTCCATAAACCTTAAATGGCAGTCGCAACATTCAGGGCTTCGCCCTGATACGAGCAATCTTGTTTCATTGGTATTTTATGTTGAACAGAATCAAATATTCTTAACATTCTTACATATTTGGTTTCCTGTTCTGCAATGAGTTGTTCAAACACAGGTCCATGCTGCTCATGGATCCTCTTCATATCGTTTATGTGCTCTGCGACACTTTCCATCGCACGTAATGCGCTACTGAGACCCTCGAACTCCCCTGCCATTTCCCCACCTTCCGGGGTTCCTGCAACTCCAACACTACCCGCTCCTCCGCCTTCCGACGGGTGATCCGATGACCCGCCGACAGAACCCGAATGAGCACCGACAATGGCTTTGATCTCCCGTAAGATGAGTGGGTATTTGAGCACCCTCTGGATTGGTTTGATCAGGAAGGACTCTAGACTTCGACTGTGTTCCTGTGCTGGGTTCTTTTCGTCCAACATGTCTCGGAATTCCGGCACATCTTTTACTGCAAAAATAAAAACAACTGTTAACCGTATTTATGCAACTGGACACAGTTCTTTGGACCAAGACTTTTTCACAATTTTTTCGTTTATTCTTTAGTCGACTTCTCATCTTAACATATAGAAACAGACAGTAAGTTACAGTAATACATGGAGTTAATCGTACCTTCAGCAAACACTCGCTGGGCCTTGCTGTGATTGGCACAGAAAGCACTGTAAAGTTTGAAGTGGTCAGTGTGACTCTTGAAAGCGTTGCTGAGTTTGATGAGGATGGATTTGAACTGGGGGATTTGCTGATAGGAGGTGAATTGGGGCTCCAACTCCACAGCTCCAGCGAGTTCGGAGCAGAACTTCTGCTGGTACGAGAGGATCTCTTCCACGTTGCTAGTCACAGCTTCCACCTAAATGAGGAACAAATATTCAGGAAATAATCAGTGACAAGTTGTTCGAATCTGAACTTGTATGATTCGATAAATGTATGCGTTTGGTTGGGCACATTTGTCGCCATTGATCTTTCATCAGTTTTGCAACTCAGCTCAAATAGTTATTCAGTTATTTTTTCTCCTAAAAAAATAAACGATTCCCGTCGCTTTACCAAATACAGTAGGGACAGTTTTCGATTCAATGTAACATACGATATAAAATTTAATAATGATATAGTCAGTAAAAAATACCCAGTTAATGTGCAAGTAGCACAGAAGGTTCCGACAACGGACTTAAGAGAGGTTGTCGGAACAATGAGATTGAAAACTGAAACATTGCAAAACACAAGCTGGTTCCCGGACAAATCTTGCGGAGTGATTCAAGCACTTTGTTTTTGTTTATACACTTTTGTAGATTGGAAACAAAAACAAAAAAATCGATGAAAAACGAGTCGTAAAATCCAAACCTTCAAAAACATGAACTCACCCAACATCCTGCCAAAAAACTCTAATTTCAAATCGTAGTTTTTCAAAGTTTCAAATTTTTAAGTACAAGTTTCATCTGGGGATTCACTCTGATCTTGAAACTTCTGATTAATATACATCGATTTTTCAAATCGCTCGATTGAATTGCAATAAGCATTTTCAAATTTAATCAGTTTTTATATACAGACAGACACATCATAGAGTTTCAGTATTTGTGCAAAAGACAATTCATAATCAGTTTCAATCAACCACAAACCGGTCGACCAGTAAAACAACTGTATCATTACTCAATGAAATTTCAATGATAAAAGGGTAGAGTGTGCATTTATCACATTGCATTTTTCTTCGGTCAAACATACCTTGAACCAAAACGCCTGCAAATCACGTATATTTGATTTTTAACTAAATTTTATGTAAATGACAGAAACTTCCATTGTGCAATAAAAATATATCCCCCAAAAGAATTTTTGAATTCAAATGTCAGAAAAAAAGGACGGTGCAATTTTGCAAAATTTATCTAGGCGCAATTCGGTTTTTCGCTCTACCATAAAAATGTATCCATTTTAGTAGTCTCAAGCATGGGTCTAGGACAACAAGCCGACGGGACTTCAAGCCGAAGGGACTTCAAGCCGAAATTAAATCTTTACAAGCACCCCAAAACGCTATTTTATCATCTGCAAAATGTTGCTTTTCTAAAATTTTGGCAAGTTTAGTCCATAATAAGAGTTATTCATGACAATGCACCACTTGTGATTCGCATCCGTTAATAACATCAGCCGGTTTTTGAAATGCATAAATTATAAACATGAAAAATGCCTTCAACCATGTTTTACTTTTCAACTTTCCGGAACATCATTTGGAAGCTTAAATTATATGCAAACGCCAATAACTAGTGAAGAAAGATCATGAAATTCAGAAGTTCTTCAAAAAAGTTTTCAAATTGTTCATATTTTACGACTTTCAAAGGAATTATTCGGCTTGAAGTCCCTAATTTTACAATTCGGCTTGAAGTCCCGTCGGCTTGATGTCTGGCACCCCTCAAGCATACAGTGCTGATTTAAATTAACCGGACAAAACGCGTTACACTTGAAATTCAAATTGGGTTGAGTTTAGGTGAAAACTTATGAAGGCAAAACTTGCTTAAAATTTTAGCAGAATTAATATGGTGTAATTTGTTTAGCGAAATTCGGGCCCGAAATTTTACACCAAAAATGGGTCATTTTGGCTTTTTTTTAGTTAATCAAAAATTACGCCGAAAATACTCAGTCGATCACAGACATAATTATATCAAAGTAAGCCCCTTACGTAGCCCAACAAATTTTAAGAAGGGTATTTTCTCCAAAAAAATTGTATATTGTTTAAAAATTGTTTTTAAACAAAAAGTTGGTATTTTATATATTAAAAATGACCTTTTTTGTCTATCAAACAAAAATAAATTAACTTATACAATATTTTGGAGAAAACACCCTTCTCAAAGTTTGTTGGCCTACGTAAGGGGCTAACTTTGATATAATTATGTCTGTGATCGACTGAGTATTTTCGGCGTAATTTTTGATTAACTAAGAAAAGCCAAAATGACCCATTTTTGGGGTAAAATTTCGGGCCCGAATTTCGCTAAACAAATTACACCATATTAATTCTGCTAAAATTTTAAGCAAGTTTTGTCTTCATAAGTTTTTACCTAAACTCAACCCAATTTGAGAAAAATGCGTTTTAAATTTCAAGTGTAACGTGTTTTGTCCGGTTAATTTAAATCAGCACTGTATATGTTCTCATAGAATTTGATTGGCTGTAAAAGGGGCGGAGGAATTTTTTAGCATAAATCTCATTTTCTGATGACTTTGGAAAGGGTTTTTTGTTTACCTCGATGTCGATGAGGAAACTACATTGAAGCAGGGGTTCCAGGTACGTCTCAATCAAGAACTGCAGATCCTACAATAAAACAAAAAAATAATAATGTCCAGCAAACAAGGTGAACGTCTTTAGTTTATTCTCTAGAGGGTTAATTTGATGTCATTTGACTGAAGGAACTGTTGGAATTTGAAAGTTAAAGCAAAAATACAATGGAGTTTAACAGTCTTCCAATTAAGAATTTATCCTCCAGGAAAACAGCTTTTACATGTTAAACAACAATTCTTCAAGATAGAAAAGGCCATTTAATTGAATCAGTATGGAAAAAGCTGTCAACTTCTTGGTAGTTGTGTAACAAGTAAGTTTCACTCTGGAAAATTTTGTCTTAGACTCAAAAAAGTAACCTTTATGTAGTTCTGTTCCGTGACTATGAGCTCCTGAATGAGGCATCCAAGTCGGGTGGCGTCTTTCATCGTGCTTCCAGCCCCTCCCCCGCCACCAGAAGCACTCCCGTTGTTTGTCCCGCTCCCTGTCCCAGTTAGGGTTGAGGAGTCAGCACCGCCTGAAGTCGTGATTCCGGAGGCACTGGCAGTGGATCCGGCACCTGAGCTAGGTCCGGAGGCACAAGCGGATGCGATTCCACTGCTGCTGTGGTTGGACTGGTCGCTCATGCCTGATTTGCGCTTGATGTCGTTGTTGTTGGCATTGGAGGTGGGCCCGCCTGATGAACCAGTTTGTGGATCCTGGCCGAGAGAGTCCTCGCCGTCTGAAAAACAACTTATGCTAAATCGAATTACGGAAAAATTACATTTAATAAAAAACTCTGAAAAATTATGCCTTTTATAGAGTTGGTATCATCGCTTCTATGATTTTCATGCGACCACGTCACTAAAAGAGACTAGAAGGAACTATGACGTAGTTTGACATTTTTGCCCAATTTTAGGTACCTCAAAGAAAACTCGTGCAGGGGTCAAATATTGTATCATTATAAAGATTATTGGTCGTGATTGGTATTCCAAAAAGAATTATTTTTAGTGAAAATAGATGACTTCTCATTTCAAAGCTGTATGATTTTTTACTGAATATTTGAACGGTTGTTTGATATAATTAAAAAGATACCAATAGAACAAAAAACAGAACAAAAACCACAGAGGAGACTGTTTTTGTTCCGACCATTGAAGTTTGAACTTTGTATTCGGGTGTTTTTTAATTTTTTCCACGCAAAACCAGGTACCACAAATAATCATCGGACTGGGTTGAGTGATATATCATATTAAAGCCCGTTAAGTCGTGATTCGAACGACATTATAAAATTTCCAAAAAAATTTCCCAGTGTCAAGACGAGAACAACCGGCTTAAAATTTTTGATTTTTGGTATAATTTCGAACTAGTATGGCGTGTACGGTGTTTTTACACGTTTTTTTAGTCAATTTTTCCACAAAATTTTCTTGCCCAATTTGCTTATTTTACTATGATTGTCTAGTATGCCTAAGGTATATTTTGACGTCAGATCCTTTTAGCACACCAAGCAGCTAAATCTACACTAATTTGGAAAAAAAACTTTCTAAACCGTAGTTTTCTAAAGACTATCAATGGTCGGAACATTCTTTGCTACTTGCACAGTAACCCGCTTTCCTTGTTTAAATTTGTTTTTCATTTTTTTTTGCAATGACTTAAAATATTCTATTTTTTTGCCAAGCAACCGGCTATCTTTGTAATACAGGAAATTGCATATTTGATTTTTAACTCCACATATTATCGATTTCACAACTAGCAGCCAGGTTCGGACTATGACTAACAGAAGGAAGATCTCTTGAAGTGGAACACGTTGGGTCCATCTGGCTCCAGGTGTTCCGTCTTGCACTGGGGACAGGGGGCGGTGGATGGTCGGAGGGATCTGATCACCAGATGGAGAGTATCCACTTTGAGGAGACTGTCAACAGTGGGACCACTCTGTCTGCTCACTAGTTGGCCATTGATTTGCAACACTTCATCGCCAGCCTCCATTCCTTTGAAAAAAACAATTGGTTGAAGGTTCGACTCCAGCTTATGGAGAAGATATTTTAAAATAATTTTTCTGTTTAGCTCATTTAACAAGAACGTTCTGACTTAATACAGTAAATAATTTAATCTAACTAAAAGAAAAAAGGATGCATTTTTACAATCACAAGCGCTAATTAGAGAGCTAAATTTTCAACAATGTTCTTTCATTAAAACAAGCTCGGAATAGTTAAAAAACGAGATACTTGATATACAATAGCTGTAAACTCGAAATACGTGGAATCTGTTCTTATCTCAAGTTTTTCTATTTAATTAGTTTCCTTGTTCTGTTTCAAGAGCTTATAGCAATTGTCAAGAATAGTATTTTTCGTATTCATGAGTTTAAGTCAATTCATTTCTGTCTTTTTTGAATGTTTCTTTCTTTCTTGTCGTTTTTTGTCGTCGCATATACATGCGTGTAACATATATATGCCTTGATCTTGCTGAAACTGTGCATCAAACAGTGCACTGTACAATAACATTCATTGATTATTTCAACTTAAATAAAAAAACTTAGAAAGTGGGAGTGCAGTGCAAAAAATTATTATGCTGCAAAAAGCTCACGGACTATCTTTGAGCTCATAACATTTTAAACTGACGTGGACTTGTTTCAGGCGCCTGACCGACCACCTTTTTTGAAGAAAAAAAACAGGCATATTAGTAAAAAAATAATTGATTCAAGCTAGTTTCAATAGTTTTTTTGCATGGTTTATTCAAAAACATAGGCAGAGATTTTTTAAATAGCTAAAACCTCATTTCTAAGTTAAAAAACGCATCAAAAAAGACATTGCCAGAATCTTTATGATTTCATAGAAAAAAACCGTCCGTGATCTCACCTCCATTCTGTGCAATAGATCCAGGGAGGATGTCTCGTACGAAGAGTCTTGGAACCCCAATGGTGGCTGAGGGGGAAGGGGTCGTCACAGAGGAACTGTTTACATTGTTGGTTGTGATTGGCAAGTGTTCCTCAACAGTCTCGTATTCAATTCCGAATCTAAGCGAAGTTTTCATCATCTCAATTATTTTTTTAACAAAAAAATGACTTTCTCTGTCACTTCTACAATTTTTTACGATTTTAGGAAAATGCGAAACAAAACTGTTCAATGCCTTTTTCTGCCAACAAAAATAGTCATAACGTCCATGTGTTAACTTATTGCCGGATAAATGCAACAAACTTTTATAATCTCCCAAGTTGAATAAAACATTCTTAAAAGAGACAAACATTTTTCCTTTAAGTAGATGAACACAAGAAGGTGTTGATTCTAATAATAAAAACAGCATGCAGACTAACTAACTAACCTCTCGCCCCTGTTTCGACTCAGGGTCACTGCATGGTACTCTTTGATGCACACTTCAATGTCCTGACAGTTCAGACTGTCCAGGCTTACTTTGGGCGACGGGATCACCCAAGTCCTGTCCGGAGCCCGGATGCGGATGAAGTGATCTCTGGGGTCCAGTCTTCTCTTGCGACAACAGCGGAGGAGCAGTTCGTTCACACTCATTTGAGGGTGCACTGCTTCCACAGTTTTCTGGTTGTGGGGGAGAAACACACGGGCTAGTTTACCCTTTCCAGAGCTTCCTGCTCCGGTGCTCCAGTTAGCCTAAATATGAAACAGTGAGATTTTTTATGTAAGTTCTAGAAAAACAAGCATGTAATTAATGTTAATAAAAATTGTAGATGTGAAACAATTTAGATTTTAAAAACTCTTGTTGAATTTTTTGAACACTAGAAATGTTACTAGGAAATTCTCACAAAACGGTTTTGATTAAGATTTCTGAGGAAACTTAGAAAAAAGATTTGCAAAACCTAATTGCTTTTAAACTCACCGAGCTATTGCAATTGTTGTGTAGGGATGTCGTCGGTTGAGTTCGGACGTTAGTCGGATCCGGACTGGGATCTGCAGATGATGCCCCTGGTCCCTTCGAGTAGTCCCCCCTTTGCCCACTGTTCCTATTGGACGACAATTGAGCTGAGTTCTGATTTTCCGACGACTGGTGCGGACTGTCACCAGACGATGAAACTTCTCGACTGTTACCCTAAAATTGAAAAATACTTTTAAAAATGAAGCTAATCGATTTTCAGACATACAGTTGGTTGAAACTCTGGATTCGGTATTGTTTTCATTGCAAAACAGCACTAAAGAACGCCTTACGTGGTCGAGTGATTTTATATTCAAGCACTTTGAGTCGGGCTGCAATTATAAATTCTCAAATCAGTCTATCAACAAATATACTTTAATAATTGCCCCCCTATGGTATCTACTAAAGAATTACCACACCCTACAAATCAAAGCAGTAAATTAGCACTAGAGCCTTCTTTTCATCTTTGAATTTTGATGCACTCTGATGGTAATTGTTCAGAATACCCTATTAACTTGGTCTGAAAGGTTAAAAAAATCGGACCAGCTGCTCTCAATGCTGAAAGAGATTTTTTGCATGACATTGCAACAACAAACCGAGTTCTGGCTGTTGGCTGAGTGGTGCTGGTTCTGATTCTGCTGGCTGCTGCGACTGAGGGGCTGGTGGTACATCTTCCTCCTCCCTCTTTCTAAGGAACCACTGCCTCCTCCTGAGTTCACCATGGAGTCCTTGCTGTGATTCATCTCCAGCGAAGTTTTTCCTGAACATGTTTCGAATTCATTTTTATTTACTTATATTGATTTCTACCAGCTAGGAGGTCGATTGTCGGATCGTATTTTTTTTTCGAAAACTACCCTCCCTCAAATGGACGCCATTGATCAGGAAATTGAATATGAAAGAAGATATGCGCTCGATCTGCACATTTGAACTTAACTTCTTTAGAATCATTCTAGTTTTATTTTTGTGTCTTGATTTCTAGACTAACACAACTTCAACATAACTCAACTTCTGCAAATAATTGTGAAAATTTTGACTAAAACTAAAAAAATTAAGCAAAAATGCATATTTTTTCTAAATCAGTTTGGTTTTATGTACCAGACAGCATGGCATGAACAGATGAAGCTGAGAAGACGCTGAGGCGAGACAGTTGGGCCTTGGTGTCCTTGGATACGGCTGAGAGGAGGGTGCGGGGGTTGGGCAACTCACTCCCACTCAACGAGGCCGCGTAGCACTTCAATCTAAAACATGAGAAGTCAATCAAGTAGGAACTATTTTAATAATCGCTGCTTGAGCATAGAAAATTCAGGAAAGCATTCAAAAATCAGGACTCGACACAAGTATTTTAAGATGATGAGCTGTACAGCTCGTATGTTGGTCCTATCCCTCGTGGATAAATGATCTTAATTAAATCAGACAGTATATATCTATATAGACAGGATTTTATTGCAGGACTTAAGACAGGATTTTATTGCAGGACTTCTGACAGGATTTTATTATATTTATTGCAGGACTTATCCAAAATTGTGTTAAACTTTATGCTAATGGAAGACTCAATTTTTTTTTTCAGATACACTTCAGCTATTTTAAGGGATGGTTTTTCATTCATTCAGAATTGGAGAGAAAAAGCTAGCTGAATTTTTCAATTAAGTTCGCAAAAATTCAGTTTTATCTAAGATCAAGGAAAAAGAAAGCACGATATGTTTAGGTCTTAACTGGGAACCCCTGATTATGAATTACATGCAATGTTTCTGGTGACTTGGCTAGACCGGAAAATTATTCATCACCCTTGAGCGACAGACCATGGTGGCCGCGCACCACAGACTTTTTGACTGAGAGGTTAACACCTTGACCAAGTCTCAAGTGCAATAGCTGTTTGTAGGGATCGTTTAACTGCAATGAGTGATGTTTGTACCTGTAAAGATGACAGTGCAGCTGTTCCAGGTTCTGTTCCCACTGGGCTATCTGAGAGGCCACAGTGTGTCTGCTTCTGGGGTCACTCATGATACTCAGCTGCAGTTCCGCCATCTTCTTCATCTTCAGGTCCATGTCCACCTAGAAAGCAAAAAGAGACAAATTGCCTGAAATCAAGTCAAGCTCAACCAAAAATTTTCTGTAATTTACTGAAACGTACTGAAAGTATATAGCCGTTTTATACATTTTTCCCAAATATTACTTTATTGAGCCAAACTGCTTTTCCGAGTTTGTCAAATCATCAAAAACGACTATTGAATATATTTACTACTCGGCAGGGGCGGATCTAGGTTTTTCTTGAGGCTCGGGGGGAGGGTGGATTTTCAAAAAAAAATTTGAAATTTTTTTCGACCTTTTTTTTAGGTCGACCAAATTGAGTTTCCGAGCTCTTCCAAATCACTAAAAAGACCTCGTTTTGGTCAAAACTTCTGCGCCGCAGGCAAAATTTTGAAAAACAGGCCAAAAAAGGCGTTTTTACGCACTTTTTGGAAAATTTTGACCAAAAAAATTGCGTTTTTTTGGCGTGCGCTCCCCCTTCAAGACAAGTATATATTGGCGTCACCAATTTAGGGTCCGTCACCAAATATGGATATATCAAAATAGTACAAAGGGTCGATAGGGGGCCCTAAATCCGCCCCTGCTACTCGAATTTCAAGACACGAAATTTAGAGTTTGGGGGGGAAGTCATAATATTTTTTCAATGAAATAATTTATCTGCAAAAAAACAGTAAGTTTAAAATAATTTTTTCAATAAAACAATCTTTTTCGAAAACTTGTCAAAATGCAATCAATTCGGTTTATTGAAAAATCGATGCTTTTTTCCTACTGAAAGAAGTTGCCATCGAGATGTTGTAATCAACCAGGTATAATATCGGATAAAGTTTCTAAGATTCAATCCCGAAACTCACTTGCTGTTCAACCTTGAGAACCTCCTCCCCCACGACGCCCACGCTACTGCCTCCCCCTCCCCCATTACTGCTATCCAGGGGGGTAGATGGTGACTGCTGCTGACGACGCATCACAATCGCATTTGCACAGGCTGAAATTTAAAAAATATTATAATCACGTATTGACTATTAATGTTTTTTTTATTTGGCACTAAAATATGTGCTCAAAAAAGATGACTTGCTTTTTATCATGCATCCGTTGGTATTGAAAATGCTCCTCCTCAAATTATTGTTACAATGGCAAAAGTGCTTCTTTTTCTCAAATAGATAAGTTTCATCAGAGAAACGTCTAAGAAAGCTAATGAGAGGCATCATATTTAAAGGATAAACTTGATGTTTCATTTTAAGCTAGAAGGAGTGTCAAAAAAAAATAATTTAGATCACATGAAAATTTCGTTAGATTTTTTGAAACTTAATTTGATACTTTCAACGCCCTTCCTTTTTAAAACAAAAACAATCCAAAATCTAAGAAACTTAGAAAATGCATAGATTAGTGCAATCGGAAAATTTTACAATGGATTATTGCAGTCTGTGTGAAAAGGAACATTAATCGTAGCTATTCTAACTGCTGTTATTGCTTACAGGAGTGCACGGCCGAGATCCAGTTGTCGAGTTCGGCGGGAGACTGAGCTTCACAGAGGTAGACGTTGCCGTGAAAAGTGCTGAGAGAGAAGACGTTCTCCCTCTTCGGGTGCTCCGGAATCGGCTGCGCAATCGAGTTCTCAATTCCTAAAACAGATAAAATTCAATAAAAGTAAGTTGGCCGCCGCCAATTTCCTGATTTCTTAAGAGTGCGAAAAAGTTTTCTATTCCAGAAAAAAAAGAGCAGAAACGCATGTTGTTCCTACTTGTTAGTATAACAGCATTTTTTTGGTAAAAAAGCAGACGATTTATTAAGAATTTTTCTCAATGATCAATTCAAAATAAATTATCAAGTGTTAGAATTCGAACACTGTGGCAAACACTGATAATGAAGTGATTCCTGGATAAAAATTCATACTTTTGCCTTAATGCACTGCGTGAATGAAACAAAAAAAAAATCACAAAACAAGGATGTATTGACTCAACTAAAAATGGTGAAATGAAATAAAGATGGAATGGGTGAGTGACTTGCCTAGTACTAGTTCTGGGACGGAGTTCTCATCTATGTTGGGAAGCTCTGTCTGCACAGAGTAGAAGAGGAGCGAGTGTCCCTTCAGACACGCCCAGTACCTCCTCCATTTCCTCTTGGGCGCCGTCTCCAACTTCTTCTTCCTGGAACACACAAGAATAAATTAACTTAGAACCATCATATCAAGTGTTTAACTAATTATATCGCTATTTTATAATTATATCCAAATAACAGATCTCATAGTAATCCATATATGTCTTCTCTCTTGTTTTTATTGAACAGTAATACTATTTTTGGAATCCCTTCTAGAGAGGAGTATCTTTTCGCACTTTCTACACCATCAAGTTCTGACCAATTAACTTAAATGTTTCCGGAAAAATTTTTGGTGAACCAGTATTAGAAAAACTTCTGAAAAATAACGTGCTTTGCTTGTTACAAAGATTCAATATACATTCAACGTTGCAACAAATATTCTGTATAAAGGCGGTTTTCTCTTTTCAGGTGATTTTCTCCTTTCAATAAAATTTGCCTGTCTGAATTTTTCGGTCAGAAGATTTAATAAATTTTCCTCACTTTGAATTTAAGAAGAGGACATGTTTTATCTCGAGCCAACCAGCCTTTCGAGTCACACCAAATCGTCTGAAGGTCGCATCTGTCGGATCCACGCAGTTATCCTCCTCCCCCTCGCCTTCATTTTGATTGCCCGAAGCACCCTTGTCTCCTTGATGACCTCCACGGGCGGTGGTTCGGGGAGGCGATCGGATGCCGAGTAGTTCCGCATCTGAGCTGAGTTGGTCCAGCAAAGCAGGCAAGGGGATCCCAGTGTGAGCATGAGTGGAACCGACTCCTCCCAGTCCCAGGTGTCTGCTGATCTCACTCGACTCTGACTGGTTGTCTTCCGACAAACTCTGAAACAAGATAGAACTGATTCAATCCGTATAACTTACTCAGCTTTCCTGAACCGCACTTGAACAATTTATCAGAACGTTTAAGTGTTGACTGCTATATAAGAAAGTTGAATGATTAAGTATCAACGTATATCAGTACGAGCAATTTTAAATTAGACATTACTTTTTGAGCCAAGAAAACAATGAGGTTACTCAACATGGTGGACATCCGGGCGTTAACGACATAGGACACACTATACACCAATTTCAGTTTGAGTCTCCTTTACGAAATTGAAAACTGATTGAACTCGGAGAAAAAAAACAAGCACCAGTGAGCTTTGATCAAAAGGTTTTAGTGATTACCGCTGATTGGTTTGAATTTACCGATTTATGATTCGCGCTCGGAAGCTCCGAAGGGGGAGACTCTACTGTCGGAATAGAGGTAGGAAACGCCGACATGCTTCTCCGATTGCGATACATTTCGTTTCTGTCCCTGGTAACACGATAGCTCTCTCTTTCATCCATTCGTGACTGTCCTGGAATTGACAATTGATGCTGCGACAGTCGTCTCCGGTCTACAAGTCGCAATCTTTCGGCAATACTTTCATTCCAAGCAAGCGGATCATCGTTCACACCTCTAGATTCTAATGATGTTTTCATGGTTATTGAAGAGGAGTCTCGGTCGTCAAAAGACACGACTCCGCTGTCAACCGACACAGGTCCTCGTCTTTGGAATTCATTCATTTCTAATCGACTATTTTTGTCATCCCAGTTCAGCCTCAGACCCTCGAGTACTTGAGGTCTCCTCAATTGCCATAGATCCCCATCTCCGACTCCGTTCCAAGACTCTAACTGATTCCTTTGTCTATGTAACTGGTACAACTGGCCAGTGGTATGAGTTCTCGGTCTAAACTGTCCTGGAGATGTGGCTAAACTACAGTTAAAATACTCAGAAGTCCTGTAGTTCTGTGTACTCAGTGAACTGCTCAGCTCTTCGCGATTCTCCAAGCGACTTCCTCTGTAAGAATTTGATTCTCTGAAACTTTGCTTTTGACTGGTCGCAAATTGAGAGGTAAAACTGGCTAAATTGTGCATATGAATGTTATGATTCTCGTAATGTGGTTTTAAATTAGACTCAAGGCTTTCCATAGCACCCTCAAATTGATTTGGGAGAGTCCTTTTCTGAGGAAAAAATGTGTAAAGGGTCTGTGCATTTGATTGAGATTTTAGACTTCTGCCGACGTTCGGGAATCCTTCCATCGTCACACTGCTCCTGCTGATGTCTGAGAACCCTATCGATGTCACGATGCTTCTGTTTGGGATACCTACCGACGTTACAGGACTACAAGAGTAACTGTTAGACCCGGTGCACGAAAAGTTTTGCTTCGTCCACGGATTGTTGGGAACTGTCATTGTAAATAAGGCGCAATATAACGATACGAATATCCAGTTAGACCATGCACAAAAAATAAAGAATTATCTAGATTTGGATGTGAAAGTTCAAAGTTTGAAAGGTCAAGGCAACTGCTTCAGGTTGAAAAAACCCGTTTATAGAAGCAACTCATTTGGCGACTGTGAGAAGAAGTATTTTCAGAGAAAACAAACGATTTGGTAACCAAAATATGCCTTCAAACTGTTAAATTAATTTTGGAGGCAGCGAAGCGATTAGTCTTTAACCCACGGTCGTCAAGTTTAATTTGGATTCAAATTCAACCCTCAAACCAATTTCGAAACTACACAGTTCTGAAACTGTGCTCTTTATATGGGTAAATAGGTCCAGAAACAGAGAAAATTTGAGCGCAAATAGGACTAGAGAGTTCTGGTACAGGCCAACTTGAAAGCGTAACACGAGGGAATGTTCAAGACTTGGAGGAAGGTAGTTGGTCTGAATTTGTTTGTTTCCCGAAATATTTGGAAACAATGCAGGTAGTTGTTGTTGCGCCCTGAAGGGACCTAAGGTATAACCCGTTTATAACGTACAATCTGCGTCGTGTCTCTGATTGATTAGGAGTGCTCTATTTACAACGTTGATTCATTTTGCCCAACCTTTTGTAGAGACGCACGAAAAAAATTTGAGCAACAGACAGGCTAAGCGACAAATCGAACGATCAGCAAACCGAATTTTTGGTTTATATTTTGTAAGCTCATGAAACTTTCAGATTCTCAATGCTTGGATTTGGCATTCGAAGAATTTTAACATTTTAGGAAAATTATGCTTTCGCCTTTTCGGCCAGCTACTTCGTGTCGATAGATCTTCTAATCTAACGGAACGGTTATAATGGCACCAAATTTATCCCCAAAGAGTTCCATGGCTGGGAAAGGAATTGGGGAAAGAATTGAAGGTATAAAAACGATTGAACACAAGGGCAACTAATTCTCGCAGCCTTCGATTACAGCAAAGCAACGACGCCACACTTTAGCTGGGTGGACTGAGAAGAATTAATCGAATCGAAGTCAATAATTGAAGAAAAAGGAACTATATGGTCGGTAGAAGATCAAATGACAATCAGAAGAAAAGCCAATGATTTACACAATTCGACATTCAAAAGACTTTAAATGTTTGGCCGTACTTTTTTCGATGTGGGCATCTAACCGAATACTCAAAATGTTTAAAAAACGAAGTGAATAAGTTTCGGAACTGCAAAGGACTCAGTAAAAATTCTTTTAATTTTCATTATGTGAGTCTAATTTATTTTATTTTTTTTGTGAGTCTAATTTTTATCATTTGAAAAAGTAAAGTGTTCCGTAAAACTGAAAAACTTTTTAAAAAAACTGTCAAGAAAAGGACTAGCAGATAAACTCAGTTTAAGTTTTCTTTCGTTTGGTAAGACTTTTTAAATCAGTTTCGAGGTAACAATCAGTCGACCCAATGGTCAATACCTATGCCAGTACCTTGGTAAACAGTGTACCCAGTATAATTATAACCACGCTTCCCTTTTAACTTCAAGATTAAGTTTCTTCTCAATTTACTTTTCTCTCTCCAATGGTTAACTACCGGTATGGTGGCGGTATGTATTTACCAAGAGTCATTTCGCAGAAACACATAAGTGTTCAGAATGCCGAAACATAGCAGAGCATATTAATAGCAGAGCTCGATAAAAATGTCAATTTCGAAGAAAACGTTCTTTTTCTTTCAAATTTTGGAGACTTTTAGACATGGTGAAATTATATCACTTACAAAAAAAACATTAAAATTTTTTTCGGTAAAAATTACTCTTCTAGACACCCATAATCGGACTATTCATTTCGGTTTTTAGGTGTTTATGAATGAGTTTCGGTTTATAATTGGCTTCGGTTGAATATAAAAATATGAAGTTAATGGCCCATTGTGCTTTCTGCTATCTTTTGAGGCAGCTTATCAACGAAGCTTGCCTATACAATATACTAAAGGGTGCTCGCTGGTTTGCCAGGTCTTAGAGTGAGAATAAAAAGTATAATGAGAGACAACGAAGTCTATTTGCCCTTCAAGTGGGTATGCTGCCGTTAAGATCAAATATTTTACAACTGGCAGGTAATTCTGTTCTATGTTTGATCACTTTCAAAATACGCAACTAATGTGCGACCTCAATTACCCTTTGTCTGTTCGCCCGAGGAAAATCCAGCTCCACCTGTTTCCAGCTAAATTTTGTAGCGCATGTTGAACAATTGAAGCAAAAAAGCAACCAGTTACAACTTCGAAAACGACAGAAACCCAACTGTGAAAGCACTCAACTTATCGTCAAAGTTTCTAAGTACAGAAATTGTTCTTTAATCGATAAAAAGATCTGCAACTCCTCACTTGCTCACAGCTAAATCAGTAGAATAGACTGATTATACTTCAAAAACTTCTGTTTCCAGGAAACAATAGCTTCTGTTTGAATCCTAAAATAGCTCCATAATTTTTATCAAACGATCTAGAGCTAGTCCAGGTTTGTCGGTAGTAAAACTAATCCTGTTTTTATCCGGCCATTAAGTTTCTAATCCTGTCTAGCCTGAAACATTAAAAGGACAACGGTGTGATTGGATTTCTGTGCAGTTACCTCATTGCAATCAACGAAGCTTCGCACAGTGTCATCCTCCACCTCCTGATGATTTGCCCCCTCTCTGTCTCCCTTGGATTGGGTAGAGGAACCCTGGCTGCGATTAGAGGAGGAACAGTCAGTGAGGTTGTCCAGTGAAGCAGCACCAGAGGAGGAGTGGAAGAATGTGCCATCTGCCACCACTACAGATCCAGAGCCACCGCTGGAACCACCCACTGGCCCCACTTTGCTCAGGCAATTAGAGTTATCCCCTCCTCCCTGATGACTGCCGTGAACTAGTCCTGAAAGAAACAAAATAAATACAATTTTAGGCATGAAAGAAGCAGACTAACGAAGCGGTATTAAATTCAGACTTTCTAAATCACAGATGAAAAACTGAAACAGAAAAGCTGCTATTTCAGTCAATACATAGAAAAATTTAAGATTTTTTATGTAATGAAGTAATATAAATTTTCAATCTTCGCACAGAAAATATGCAACTTACGATTCAACAATTTTGGACCAAAACTGACCGTGAGAAATGTTCGGTGCCGACCCTTTATGTCCAGTGCTTCCAGTAGCGCTTCGCATATCACTTCCCTTTTCCGAACCCCCGCAAGACGAATCGGGTCTCCTAGTTGCACAGGCCAAAATGTCAACGTCCCCTAAATCTTGTGTCAAGTGGGGATCCCCCTTGAATCCTTGGCTGCTGTGTAGTTGGGGGTGCGACGATTGAGATGTCTTCTTGTGTGACGTAATGCTCGGGGAGGAGTCACTGTAACGCAATTTAGTAGCCAAAAAACTGAATGAGAATTTTTTTTCGCGAACTGGTTAATTACATCAAATTACATACTGAAATTAGAAAAGCATCCGAAAAAGTAAGCAAAAAGATTTCCAGAAGAAATTTTACAAATTTGGTTTTCGGTAATTAATCAATTTTGTTTAATCTAAAAAAATTATCGATATCCCAAGCTATTCTAGTTCTGTCAAATTCAACTATTATTATGCACTTCTGCGTAAAAATTTTGCATAAGATGGCGAAATAATTTAATAGAAAAAACCGCAGCAAGCTTTGAGGCGTTTGTGATGTGATGTCTGTTTGCCGTGCAGCAATCAAGTGCCAAAAACAAACAGACACTGGTGAGACTTACCACTAGATGGTAAAAAAAGTATAGCCACTCCGATGCAACAGTTTTGTGTTCATTGCAGATAAAACGATCCCGTCCTCTTAAAATGGATGTAAAATACTCAGAATAAATATTGCTGTACTTTAAACGGTCAAGGATTTAAGAGAGTACTTTTCAAAACTATTTTGAATATTTTCTGGTAGATTATGTTCGCATAGTAGTGGAATGAGCTCAGTAGTAATGTTAGGATTGGACGTCTTGGTTGTTTAGTAAACTCAAACACTATCTTAAACATTCCCCCTTTTCCGAGTTCTGCAAGCTCTACAAGATTTCCTATTCGATCATGAATTTAGCTACCACGTGATTATTTGACCTGGTTTTGCAAAAACGAGACAAAACGGGGGGGGGGGGGGTGTGTTGGTTCAGCAAGCAAATGTAAGTTTGCAATCTACTCTTTTCGCTGTTTTGAACAGTCACGTCTGAGGCATTTCTTAAAGCATGTAGTTTCACTTCAGATACAAACGAATTATGGAAAACCGTTTACAAAAAACTTGCACCTATCATACTGAAGGAATGTTTTTCAATGTTTTTTAAGGAGACGCGGATTTATTATTGGATGACGTAAGACGAAGCATTTTTAACTGGTGATTTAGAAAAAGTTTTGTCCATGCCAAAGTTTTCCAAGTTTTACCTGGCATTTGATTTAGCAGGCGAGCTGATGCTATTCGTATTGTTGATGTTTTTGTTTGTTCCCTGCATTTGCGCATTATGTAATGGACCCCCTTGGCCAGTCACTAGAGGATTGCTCTGTCTTTTGTTTATGGCCGGGTGGGATCCCCCCGAACTATTGCTGGCCTTCCTGTCTGTAGCACTACCTCCTCCTCCTCCATTGGGGACACCTGCTTGACTGTTGCTGGAGCTAGCGAACTGGTTGTCAGATCCAGCAGCCGACAAAACAGCTCCATGGTGACCTGCAAAAAATTTAATTGTTTGAATCAAATAATAATTTGGAGGTCAATATCCTATTTCAAATAGGCTCTTAATGGTCTAATTATATACAGATAAGAAAAACAATATCATTTACTAGAAGAAAATATTCCTGAGCATCCCTTCACAGCTCAATAATCATACAAGAAAAGCCTCTGACTTAAGGTCAAGACTGATAGACGATCCAACAAAAAATAATAGATCCATCATAATGTATTCTTTTAAAGCCTCACACGAATGGTATCCATCGTCGCTACAAGTTGCATACGCGTAAGATTCATCTGAGAAGATGCTGCGAGCAAAACTATGTTCAATTGCATAACTAGTCAGTGAATTTAAAGTGCGACTGTTTCCACTGTCAAGGACGGGCGGAAACGACTTGGCGAATATCAAATCGGATTGAGACTCTTGGAAAATAAGAGAGCGGTCCACGATTACATAAGTAGCTGCGTAGTCAATTGAAGAGCGTTTTCTCTGTCTCTTAGTCGATGTATAGCTAGGCCGAAAACTGTTGTCGGAATAATGCGACAAATTTGAAGCTACCGCTCCCATGTCAAAAATTAAAATAAATGACTCAAATAGAAGAAAAATGGAAAAGAAAGTTCGCACTCGTTAAGACCGAACTGGTTTTTATCTAAGAACAATTTATCGTCCAAGGAAGTTCTTGTTTATCATTAACAGTCCAAAAATTAGGCCAAATCAAAATAAGTTTGCAAAGCTACTTGAGGGCAGAATTATTATTTACAAATAGTACCACCCGACTTTGATCATATCATATCAAATGATCCAAATGATCCTTGACCGATATGACTGGCCTTTAGGTTTGCTATGCGACAATGCCAACAATTAATCAATTGAATTTAGCTGTCGCTGCAAACATTCATGAGATACCGATCGATGAAAACATAACTTCATAATTGACGCTATATTTTATCTTAGAGACATGAAAATCAAATCACAATGAAACTTATCGGAATAGGAATTGAACTTAAACAGCATCAGGGAACTACTTAATGACGTCACATTAGGGGCTACTAGCCTTCGAATCCACTGTCGGTCTGACTCACAGTGGAGTCCCGCTTGCTGCTCTGCAGTTCCTCCGTGGAGAAGCCCCCCTCGGAGACATGGGTGACCTCAGAGCCGGGAGATACGAAGCCCTCCGAAGAAATGACCGACCTGTTGAGACCTGAAACATTTGAAAAAATTTTTAGAAAAAAACAACAGCGAATAAGAGAGAGCTCAGACGGCTTCAAGAAACAGAGAATGTCACGACTCTAGTTACAAAAAAAATCAATTAAATGAAAACAAAAATTTTCAGACGATTTTTCCGAGCATTTGAAAAATGACAAAAAAACAGTACAAAAAAACCTAGTTAGACAACAGATATTTGGAGCTTTGATGAAATGTTTTAGTATTAGTTTTTTTTTACCAGTATAAGATACGAAATACCCGAAACCTTAGGTATAAATACATATGAACAGAACAGAAAAAAATTGTTATAGAGAACAGGATTTTGGTCAGAGACAAAAGAGATTCGCATTACTTGCACTACAAATTTACATGCCAAAGTTGAAAAGAGCAAAACTATAAAATTAGAATAACGAGGAAGCCAACTAAAATGAATCGGAAGTCACAAAATTGAAAAAAGTGCCTCTTCACTTAAAAATGCATCAAAACGTTTACTTTTTTGTCAATGAAATGACGCAATATGAAGCTATTAAGCAAATAAAATCAACAACTAACCAAGATAAAACACAAATTGCGAATAGAACAGGTGTTTACGATGCAAAATGCAACAAGTATGCCTGTAGGCACGGGCGGATTTAGGGTTATCTCGAGGGTGAGCGGGAGCGGATTTTCTAAAATTGTTTGAAAATTTTGTCGACCTTTTTTTAGGTAGACAAAATTGATTTTCCGAGCGCTCCAAGAACACTTTAAAAGACCCTATTTAGCCGTTTTTGGACACTTTTTGGAAAATTTTTACCAAAAAATTTGGTTTTTTGGCATGCACTTCCCCCTCAAAATTAGTATATATTGGCCTTTAGAAAAAGTTTGAGGTCGGTTGGCCAAAAATGGATTTCTTAAAATGTGCCAAAGGGGAAACCCTTTGGGTCGGCATGGGATCGAATCCCGGAGGCCCCCCATAAATCCGCCTCTGCCTGTAGTTGATATGATAATATATAAAATCTTCAAAAAAGGAAAAAATTATTATTGTTTTTTAATTTCCCATTTTCAATGAAAAATTTGAATTAGAAAATAACAGTTACAAAAAACAAGAATTAAATGGTACTTTAATGAAGTGAAAAAAGAGTATGTTGTACTTTAATGAGCATAATAAAAAAAAGAGTATATTTGACTATTTGCGTCATTTAGTCTAAAAACAGAAAAATTCAGACGATTATTATTATTGTCAACAAAAAGATAACTTTTTGAAAGTTTTTTTTTAGAATAAGAATCACGGTTTAAATGGCTTCAATTTGAAACACACACACACACACATGACCATGTTCGAGTTTTTCTGAGGTAGTCAAAATTGGCTGGAAAAAATCCTACACCACAAGTACGTGAAGCGGTCGAAACAAAAATTACTAAAATCCTATAAAATCCTATAGTAACGTACATAATTCCATAAATTTCAAAGAACTTTCCAAAAAAAGGGAACAATTTTCTGGTTTATTTATACTGTAAGTTTCCATTCATTACTCGTTTATGCGAGAAAAATGAAAAAAAATAACATGGAACTCATATAAAAATTTTTGACCAAAAAATCAAAAACCTTTTATGAAAAATCGGAACAAAACTTAGTGAGCCTGTTATCATTAGTTGAAAATAACACGCTATAAAAATAGTTCGGATTTCAAAAACAAACTAAATTGAAAACTAAGCCGCCAAAACTGAAACAAAAACGTTGTTTTTGAAAAACTCGACATTTTTGTTTTCAGTCAAAAACTTACTCTGTACATAATAGAGACCGTAAAATCTAATTTGCAATGCCTACTAGATAGTATAACTGACAAATCAAACAGACAGTTGAAAAGGCGTAAAAGAACATGGAAACCGAAAAAGAGTTGATTGAAAATTTTTGAACATTTAACTTTTGAGTTTCGATGAAAAAAAAACCATTGAAGCTATTTTTATCACATTGAAAAAATATACCGAGTTGGATTTGTTTGTTAACACTTTTTTTGTAAAATTATTCCATTTAAAAAAAAACTAGGCCAACAGGCATTTTTTATTCCGCTTTTGAAACTAGAAAACATCCATGTTTTTGTGACCTTTTCACTTTTGCTGTTCGATAATTAAGTTTGCCTTCAGTTAACAAAGAAAACGAACTGAATTTTAAATAATCCTACCTCAAAACGCGAAAAATCAAATTTGACCGTGAACAGTTTTTAATACTTTTTTCCTGAAAAAAAAAACAAACAAAAAAGTCATCAAGACCTATATAAGTGGAAATTACTTCGTTATTTCCCACTTAAATAAAATTAGACAATTGAAACACAAACAGCAAAATCGAAAAAAAAATTAAAAGTTTTCATTTTGTGTCAACTTTTAAATTATACATGTAACGATTCATTGTCACCGTTATCTATTTGTAAATCTTATGCAAATGAGCATGTGACCTGTTGCAGTCACCTTTTCTTTTTGTTAACACTTTGTTACAAAATTTGTAAGAAAAGTTACTCACGGCAAAAAGAAAAATTAGTTCTTGTTTACAAGAAACTTGCTGTCGCAGGTGTAATAACTTGATCTTTAAGATCATAACACTGACCTGAAGCCGAAGATTGTGAAGTTATTGGCTGGATGTTCAAGTTCATGTATTTTGCATCAGGGTTCATTTGCAGCATGTTGTGATTACGGGGGTAGAAAATTTGCTCATGAGCAGCTATCTGCTCATGAGTCGGCGGGGGCAGATCATCATTGAAGTCTGGCGAGTCGGTATCTGGACTCGGTTCTTGTTCTTGCTTTGAATCTTCCAACATTGGAATACCTCCGAAACTTTCAACCGCACTTTTAGGATTCTTGGAGTTGGCATTTTTAAGTCTTGATGCTTCGGGTTCTAAGCCAGACTCTCCGTCGTTGAGACTTAAGAGATCCGGGTCAATGGCGTTACTAGGGTAACCAGATGGCAAGGCGGCATAAGGGTAGGATGTTGGGATTCTCGGGGGTAATATTGGGTGGTTATTCCGGCTAGCTCTTTCTAATGTATTCGACGGACCTGTAGAGCAAGGACTATGTCTGCTGTCTTTGCTTGATTTCATTATAGCAAACAGCTCTGAATAGACAACGGCGTCTTCACTTGACATATTTTGCTTCGGGTTACTGGGCGCCATTTTTTGCTCGCCCTTTAGACCTCTAGGCAGAAACGGAGACCCTGCGCCTTCGGCTGGAGCTGAAGTTTGAAGTGGACCAAGGTGAGGTGGAATTGTCATGCCGACTGAATTGCCTTCAGACCCTTTGCGACGATGATTTTGAGAGTGACCCTGGGATCTGTCCTGAAAATTGTGAGGATCATACATCATATTTGGAGGCGGTAATTGATCAGGGGAGAACGCTCTGTGATTGTCTGTACTAGTGTTGCTATGAGAATGGGCATGGGACGGTTGGTAACCCTGAAAGGTGTGAGCGATTCCTTGTTGCGAGTTTCCGCCACTACCTGGTACGACATTTATGCTACCATATATGTTCTCTTGTTGGTAGTTGAATGATGACCTCTGACCTTCTGGGTACATTTGAGTACTGAGATGTGTTGATGAACCATCACTTGAAAGATTGGAGGGATACTGATGAAATGGTTGCTGTAGGTAACTCGGAGGAGGCAGGGGACTCGACATTCTATGAGGCCCTGGTGGGAGTGGCTTTCCACACGTGTGGCGACTACAGGATCCGTTTGAGGACACGCTGAGCGGCGAATCACTTCTAGGACTGGGTTGAGGGTAGAACTGAGGTGGTACTGGACTTGTATATCTGGACCCTGGTGGACCTAAAGGTTGACCTACTTGGCTGCTTAGTGAGAGACTATGACCGTGCAAAGCACCCCCTACAGGGGTCAATGACCGGGTTCTTGAAGACCCTCCGGAGGATGTATGAGGAAACGGCATTCCAGTGTTGTTCCAGTGAGCCACTTGGTTCGCCATTAGCGGAGATTGTCGACTGTTGTGCCGACTAATCATCTGGTTCGAGGGGTCATTCGGGTTCATCTGGTTATTACCATTGTTTGTTTTGATAAACAGCATGTCTCCCACCATGTGAACGGATTCCTCCATTTGAACACAACTCGAAGGTCGAAACTGGTTCAAATCGGCTGAAAGTGCGTGTGCGTGGTGCTTTGGCGATGCATTGTGCAGTCTTCTTGAAGGACTAGGGGGTGTGTTTGTCTGATTGGGGTTGTATCCACTGCCTGCCTGTCCTGTCGTGTTTGAGGGGTAGAGGGATGAGTGTGCATTGGGGTTGTTGGGAACTCTCGTTGGTGACTCAGCTTGAGGCTGAAAACATTCAAATCTTTAAGCATAAAACTCATTTTTCTGGCTTTTTTTATTTCATAAAAAATGTCAAACTATTTGATTAGCAATGTAATAAAAATACTCTTTGATAATAATCTTTGAGCGCTCATAGTGAAAGAAGCAAAATTAATGTTTATCCTGTTTATGGGGTACAAGCGTACTGAAATAGAGTGGTATTAAAGAAAGTTGAGCAGTATAACTGACCGAGCAGCAGGTGACGAAACGGAGAGCGTCTTTTTCCGAGATGAAATTGAGACCCCAGAGCCCACCTGAAACCCAAATGTTTCAAATTAATAGACCGACGAAACTCTTAAACTATTTGAGGTCTAGGTTACGATTTTTTCATTCATGGTTGTCAGATTTGCAAGCGACTGCTATTGATTTGTTTTGAGTGGGCTAAAGTTAGGGTAAAATACCCAAGTGCCTTTTCAGGAGTATGTTCAGTTGACGTTGCCTTCAAGTTAGTCTGCTATCCCCACTAGTTATAAACATCAACTTTACGACCGGGCATCCAAGGGTTTTACAAGGTTTTTTATTACGGCCAAATAAGTGTATATTCAAAACTTCTTATCTGATGAACGAGATGATCGAACGATTCATAGTAAAAATCGATGATTGGCGAAACGGTAGAAAAACCATTATAGCAGAGGGCGGAAAATAAGTTCAACTGACCTTTTGTCCGATCTGACCACTGGACAAAACAATTTGTAGTGCGGGTGATTTTGGTGCCTAAACAGAACAGATAACCATAACTACTCAATTTTTTAGCATGAAAAGTAAATTTGTTTCCTTTACTTTTTAAAAAATTCATAATAATAATTACCATTAAAAGCATTACCTTCAAGATATAAAGTATAAAATTAAAGCTTTTGAAAAGCAAAAATTTGAAGTTCTTGCATTAATTTTTCTGTCAAAACAAATTGAAAAATTAAAAATATTGTAAATTAACATTGTTGTTCCGACGACTTCACCAAGTAAAGCGGACGAACTATGGCATCTATCGCATGTTTTTTTTTTGCGTCTGATTATGACCAACTCGATGAAAAATTGTGGGGGTCAAATGTGATGATATATTAAAGCCTTTTCATCAGCAATTATTTGGATTCCAAATAAAAAATCGAACTTTATGCAATTTTTAGACCAAATTTTGTTTAGCGTTTAGGACTGTGTTTCTCTGGTTCTGCAGTTTTTTTCCCTGACTTCTTAATTTCATTTGGTAAATCACTGAGGTCGGAAAATTCTATTCTACTTGCCCAGTCGCCTTTTATTAATTATTAATTACTATTAATTGTAATTCACCTTATAAATTGTTCACAGTCATCAAAGTGAAGATCCAAAAGAGTTGATAAAATAATCTAAATACTCAGCCCTGTTCAAATGGGCAAAAATGTATTTTAGGTCAAGTTCAACTTCATTAATCAAGTTATGATATTTCAAAGTAAAAATGCTGAGGTTAAACAGCTCAGCAATCCAAGAGAAATAAAAAATCAGACCATTTGGCTGAAAAAGTAATCGTGTGATTGATGGCATTAGCACCGAAGGTAGGCATTCTGCTTATAAATTTCGAACTGACTTAAAAAGGGTAGAAAAAGAGAAAAGAGTGAAAATGAAAAATGAAGCCTCTGTCTCTAAATGGATTTGTTTTATTTTTATCAATCTGCCCTCCAAGTAGGGTATGTAACCATAGGTTAATAGCATGGGTGGGTATTACTTATGGCCACATTCAATTCTAATATATTATTAGCCATCATTTCTTCTGCATTTCCGCTTCTATGACATAAAGTAATGCAATAAGAATTGAATGAAAAACTGCCATTTTTTTCAGAGTGGATTCAGATCACTATTTTACTCAGTCGCGATAAAATTAAATTGTGCATTTTTGTAATGTCTTATGTTGCTAATGGCCGGTTGGGAATAAGAATATAGATGAGATTGGCAAGTCAAAGAAGCATTTATAATGAGATGAGCAGAGCTAGACACGGTTGTGCTGTTGAAAAATTATAACAAATTAAAAACCCTGGCTGGTCAAAAATTCTTTTCAGTTTATTGCTCCGACCGTTTCCCTGAAAGTGTCCGACATAAAATATGGATTAGCTAGAGTTTATTTTCGCCTAATTGTCACTATCTTAAAGAACGGTCGTAGAGTGTGGAATCACATTAACACATTAAAGTTCTACTGGTCGTGATTCGAATTCCAAAACAAATTAAAAAAAAACTGTCTCAAGAGTGAAAAAAATTGGTCATAATTTTTCCGTTTTTCAGACTGATTTGCATCTAATGCACTTTGTAATGAGCGAGACAAATGATGCCTTTCTATCTAATTTTATTGTATTTTCAACATAAATTTAGCCTTAATTACCCAAATATGCAGAATATTATCTAAATGAATCCACTCACAGCACTTAGAGAAAAAAACAGGAAGGAAAAATTTTAAAAATCAAAAAATGTGTTATTTTTTAAAAAATTTTCTGTGGTAGGAACATTCTGTGCTTTTTGAAGGCTACGATCACGGTGAAGATAAAAATGGTACCAAAAATATAAAAAGTGCAAGCCCTTGGAATCATTTTAATCATTTTAAACAAAAATGATTTTTGTTGAGTTTCATTTTTGTTGAGTTTTAAAACAAAAATCGTGGCACCAAAAGCCAATTTCAATTTAAGACAGAGCAAACAATTTTTTTTTGCCAAACTCAACAAAAATTGACGCTTACCGAACTAAAAGATGAAAACTTAAGTGTAGAGTTCTTTATCGTTCAAGGTTTCGAAAAATTATAATTAGTTTTTCTTTTTTACATGTTCTTGTGCATTAAAGGTTCCTCTTTGCTTTGTTACATAATGACTGTCAGTGTGTTACGTCACTTATGACTAAGAGTAACAGACTAGTTTTTATCAAAACAGAACTAGATTTTGTTGCGGCCTCAGGTGAAATAGAGATAAAAGGTAAACGGAAAACGAAAGAGTTGACAAGTGTCAGCTGTCACTCAAATGACGCAAGGTTAATCACTAGCTGCAACTCGTTATATTTCACATTCTAATTTTATTTGCAGTAATTATTTAAAAAAACTGAAACATTGACCAAACATAAAACTCTTTTAGCCAATTTGGAGGATGCAAAAAGATAGGTACAAGCTGGGGCGGATTTTGGATTTTCTCAATGGGGGGGGGGGGGAGCAGATTTCAAAAATTACAGTTTTCGGCGCTCCGCTCCCCGCAAAACTAGTATATAAGCTTGCCTAGAGAAAAACTTTGGGGTCGGTCAGCCAAAAATAAATGTCTTACAAAAAAACCAATGTGGGGACCATTTGGGTAGTCAGGAGGTCGAATCCCTAAAAATAAGCATCCACCAACCCCTTCCCCTAACACTTTAAATCCACTACTGATTTCAAGCCTTGATAAGTTGCGTCCCTGAAACAGAGCAAATTATCACCCGGTTTCCGAAGATTTAAATTACACAAATTTTTTTCAAGGACACATCTTAACTTTTGCCTCGCCACATTTCTGATCTCCACGAGGATGCCCACAATGATTACTGCCTGCGAACACATTGCATCATTCAAATTTGACAAAAATGATGAGGAGTTGCCAACAATTTTATCATAATAACTGCAATCCAATTATTTTTGAATATTTCTAATCCTATTTTCAACTCAAAATGGGTGTGTTGTGTCGATTTGTTTCATAAAAACATAGCGATCATCAGAAAGTTGGAAAAGAGTCTATAAACGCAAGTAAACAGAAAAAATACTGGCTTGTTTTTGTTGGAAAATCTCAAATTACGAATATTAAGGAAAAAAAATAGATTGCCATTTTCATTTCAAGAAAAATTATGTTAAACTCTGAAAAAAAAACTGGTTTGAAAAAAATTTGAAAAAAAAAACTGGTTTGAAAAAAAATTGAAAAAAAAACTGGTTTGATAGGTAAATTTTTTATTTCGCTGGCGAATCTGAAAACCAATTTCCACTTTGGAAACTAGAAGTTGATCAAATTTTTTATGAGCTTTTTAATTTTGCCGTTCGATAGTGGAGTTTGCCTTCCTTTTGACAAAAAAAAGACTGATTTTAAAAAGAAATCAAAAACTAAACCGCGAAAAGTAAATTTGAGCCTTAACAATTTTTAAGACCTTTCCTGGAAAAAATATTAAAAACATCATCACGAGTTATGAGAGTCTGAACTACGTTCATCGACTATTAGAAATTATGAAACAACAACTCAGCTTTTCTGGAGATAATTACATCGAAGTGATGGTTTTATTCGGCAAAATGACAATCAACTTCTTGTATGCTTTTTTGCATTATTTTTAAAATTTTCAGTATGAAATAACATTTGACTCAATCTGACATTTATTTGCGGTACCTATAAAACACCCCCGGATGCAAAAACTATAAAACACCCCGGATGCAAAGACTTTCAGTGGTTTGTTCGTTCCGGTCATTGAAAATGGGGAGAAACGTTGTCTTTGGGTGTATTTTTTTTAAAAACGCAAAATCAGGTACCAGAATCAATCATCGGAATAAGACGAGTGTTATATCATATACATTTATTACAGTCGTAATTCAAAAAACATTTGAATGGTTTCAAAAAAATGTCCCAGTGTTGAAAAAACGGTTTGACGTTTTTGAGTTTCAGTCTAACTTCGAGAAATAAAACCCTGCTTGAACTAATTTACTCGCTAAAAATAAGACAGAAATTTTTTTTAGGTAGTAATTATTGAAAATTCTTTTATCGTTTTCTTAGAAGTAAACTAAACTTAAAAGAGTTTAAATATTTTTATGCGAAACATCAGAAGAATTTTAAGAACAACTCTCCTGAAACATTTTTTGTTTGTTTTTCATTTTTGAAGACAAATGTTCTAAATTATGTTTAGTTCACTATAGTTTCAAGCGTTCGCATAGTTCTCATCACAATGTACACAAAAAACGGCACTAATTTGAAGGGAAAAAATCCGGCAATCAATGTTTGATAGTTCGATTTAAAATAATGTTTATGATGCGGAGAATTCAATTCTGTCTTCCATTATGATTTTGATGGCCAAGCAAGTTTTGGGTTAATATTGGACGAGTTCGAGAAAAAGTATTGAAGAAAAATTGTAACAGCCGTGAACTGTATTTCTAAAAAAGTTTGAAATCTCATAAAAAACAAGTGTTTTTACGGCTATTTTTCAAAAAATTAATACTTTATAGTTTATAAGGCCGGCTATTCGATTACTCTTGAAAATGTCCAATAATTCAATTTGCGACAACTTTCGCAAGACAGTCGCGATAGTTCAAATAAAAAAAAGTTTTTCGATTTTGTTTGAGAGAATTTAGAATACAGTTTCTAAAAAATAAGAAGGGAAAGGGAAGTTATGGCCAAAGAGCGATGTAATTTTTAATTGTTGTGACAATTTCAAATTTCACCTAAGCGCACGCTTGGATAAATTGGTTGGTTTTAGCCCAATGTTTGAGACCTCAAACACCAATACAATTTGGTAAACCAGATTTTCAGGTCGCAATTCAAGGCGTTTTGAATGACTGAGAAGCGATATTAAGAATCTTAATAAGTAAAATCTTACTTGTAACTTCAAAACAAGCTGAACAAAATCAAATTTATCATAAACTCACTTGAACGGAAGTTGTGGTCAGATAGTATTACTAAAACTGTCATCTAAAGCAGAAGATTTTCAGAACTTTCGCATAATTTAGATGCATGTTCTGTTATCAAAATTCACCCTGAGCTCACATAAATATGACAGGGTCCAGAAACAAAGACAATTTGATAAACCCACTGACAGTCCACAAATTCTAGAGTGATTTGCATTATGTTTTCTAAATCACTGTGGTTAAATTAGAGCTCTTTTGGAGAAAGTGCTTTCTCAAATACAAATTTTTCTACAAAATACGGACACGCAAGTTAATGCACTAAGAACCGAAACAATTCTAGGAACTCGATTATTATTTTACAGTCTTGTAAACTTTCTTTATTTAATTTCGTTTAAATGTCTGTTCAACTTTCGTCAAAGAGTTTAGAACAAACTCGCTGATTTTTTCAATTTATCAAGGTACAAATTAAAAATTGATGTTCAAATAAATGTCGAATTGCAATTTGTGACATATTAATTATTATAACGGCGATATTAAGAACCTTGTAATCTGAGCATTTTCTTTTTGTGAGGAAACAAATTTTTAAGTTGTAATGGAATGAATTTCAAATCAATCGTTACAAATTTTACCTTAAAAAATTTGTGCATGTGAACTTAATTACTTTAACAGATTATTTGAAGTGCAAATTCTGGTAATTTGGGAGAACGCAAGAGTTTTCATAACAAATTTTAGATTTTATTTGAGTGAAATTGATTTCAGTTTGTTCATCCGATTTTTGAAGAGAATGAGGAAAATTATATATGCTTGAGGTGGTTATTTTTATTCAGACCAACTTCTGAGGAGGGCTATTGAGTGGGGACAGTGCCCAGAATCTGCGTGCTCCGGAGCGGGTGTACTACATACTATTTTAAGCTCGCTTTGAGCCTCCGGAAACTTCTCGCAAATTTGTCTAGAGGAAAAACCATATCCCTAAATATTGTTCACTTTTTTAATGTCATTTGTCGGAACAAAAATTTTGGTGATCTTTATATTAAATCAAGACTACGAAATAACAAGTCGTCAATTAAAATAAGTAGAAAAAAATTTCTGATCCAATCATCAAGAAGCTAACAATCGGTGCTTTCATCGAATCAATTGCGACTTTTTATAAAACAGCCTTTACGAAGTTTTTTATATATCAATTATATCATGTCCTGAGTTCAATTCAAAACAAAATGTTAGATGCGATCAATTTTTCTAAAGTCAAGCAGATTTTAAAAATTGCCAATTAATTTGCGAATGTTTACAGCTATCTATAAAACGCGGGCGGTAATCCAATTCGCTCAGACCTCAATCCAAATTGAGTTTAGGCAATCTAGTTAGTTCAGCAATCAATTACTAAAAACGAAATAAATGACTCTGCATTAGACTTTGCGAGTGCGGCTAAAATTTTGAAAAATAGAACAACGTGGAAAACAATGAAATAGTAAAAAAACAAATAAAACAAAATTTGTTTTCATTTCATTTCTTTTATTTTAATTTGATTTATCAAAAATTCATTTATCAAGAATGGATTTTTCAACTTAACCCCCGACATGATGAAAAATAGAAATTAGAAAACTTTTATTTTGATTGATATTGTAAGAAATGCACGACACTAAAATAGGGTAGGTTCGAAAAGACGATTTATTGTTTATTCTTTTATAAAATCAAACACCCCATCCAAGTTAATGTCAGATATGGTTTGACTAATTTTTGTCATTTTTTGCCATTTTTCCGCTTTGACATTAAGAAAATTTCAAAAAATGTCCCAGTTTCGAGAAAACTAGTTTTAAGAGGTTCATTTAGCGCTTCCTTGGATAAAAAACTAAATTTTTGTGCAAAAATATTTCATGTTTTTTTTTGGTTTTTAGTTTTTGAAATTTTGTCCACATAAACGAACCTCATTTGAAAAAAAAAGAAAAAAAAATAATTAATTTTTCCAGCATACAGTCGGAACATTCTGTGCTACTTCCTCGTTCTTTTATCAAATCATATGCCGTAAATTAGTGCCAGGTAAAGTTAGACTAACTTCTGTCATAGTTTGAAATGAAATTCCGTGAAAATGAATTTAGTTCAAGCTTTGAAATGAATTTCCGTGAAAAAGAATTTAGTTCAAGCTTTGAAATGAATTTCCGTGAAAAAGAATTTAGTTCAAGCTTTGCAATGAATTTCCGTGAAAATGAGGTTCCTACTTATACACTACGCTGCTCGCAAGTGTAATAAGAAGACTGAAGAATGAAGTTATGAAATATTTTTCCACACTAAATTTTAAGGCCTATAATACTTGCTGTCAACTGGTTTTTACCTGGTGAGAACACTTTGCTGTCCAGTATCTTCTTGTCTGGGAAAGTGATGCCAGTCACATGTAGTACACAAACAGGTGTTTCTTCCATCAAAACCACACTGATTGGGGTCAGACTTTCTGACACTTTGTCCCACTCGGGTCCAGACGATGAGTCACCATTTGACCCTGATGACCCCAAAGGCGCAAAAGGAGACGTGTCGGACTGAAGTTGCTTCTCGGGTCCGATGCGAAACACCTCGGCCAGGATTCTAAACATTTGGTAATTCACTAATTTTTTACTTGGAAGCTAATCTGATAAAATTTTGCTTATTGTTCTCCAATTGGTAAAAACTTTCGTTTAACCAATAAAAGGGCAGGAAAACCAAATCTACTAAGAGTAGAACTTGAAGAACATCACACAATTTTACCTGACTTTCAACTGTTGCAAACATTAGCAAGGACCGCCAGTTGCTGGGCAAGTAACCCAGAATGTTTCAACGCAAAGTTCTGAGAGCAGATACAAAAAGTAATTGTTGTCTTTTATCTTTCTAATGCTTTTTTTTGTCGCAGAAGCTAGTGTAGGACATTTTGAAATTGTTTCCCATGTTTTCAAAAACATTTTTGTCGCAGAAGCTAGTGTAGGACATTTTGAAATTGTTTCCCATGTTTTTTTAAAAACATTTTTGTCGCAGAAGCTAGTGTAGGACATTGGTTTGGACAAATTTGCACAAAAAAATTACTTAACTTTTGTATCATTAATCATAACAAGACTGATCGTATCAAAGGGAAGCTCTGAATGTTCCGACTGCCTTTTAAGGTCTATGGAGCAGTAATAACATGAAAACATTTAATGTAATATAATCAAAACATTTTTTTTTATTTGAGATTTTCGTCAAAAATGGCTAATTCAAAAGTCGAAATTTGTCTGAAGAAAAAAAACCACCCCGAGCACAAATATTCCGTTACTTTCTTTACGAAAGTCGGAATAATAACATCAAATTAATGATTTTACTTACTTGAGTAATTCCTTGTTCGTCTGTGATGACATGGATCCGTGACTACTGTTGCTGTTTTGAGAAGACGCATTAGCCACTGCCATTCTGTAAGCGGACACCGACCTCCTAGGAGTGACCCTGACCCTAGAAGGAACAGTTGCAGTTCCTGTGATGTTATGACTGTTGATACCCAAAGCCCCGCTCCCCTGCGAGTAGGCTAAAGATACCAATTCTGACAGTTGGTACTGACTCACTGATCCCGGAGCAGCTGAACTCGACACAGACAACGGTGCTGTGGCGTTCGGTAAAGAAGGCTGCTTGCTGTGATTAGAGTAACGACCGGATCCACTGCCGACGTTGGCGAACTGAGAAGTCGGATATCCGAAATTATTAACGTTGCCGGAAACAACGGGACTAACTGCCGACGACGAGGAATCGTACCCTGGAAGAGGGTTCTGAAACTGTGGATGTTGTCCGTTGTTGGTTCCAGGTGTGGGAGAGGAGCACGGACTGATTCCAGAAAGACTAAGAGAAGACGCTGGGTTCGATTGGTAAACACGGCGGTGATTTAGCAGATACTCTTGCGGAGAGTTGAAGTTAAACTGATGGTGTTGTTGAAGCGGTGACTGGCCACGATAAGAGGCGGTTGGCTGATGATGCTGTGGGTGAGGGTGATTGTGCGAGGGGCTAGCGTGTGAAGGCGTAGGACTGGGACTGAAACTGGCATTGTTTGAAGTCCTTTGAAAAGAATGGTCGCTTTTTGAGCAAGCAGAAGAAGCGTCCGAAATTGGTCGACTGGGGTAATTCTAAAACAATTGTTGGTTCGAATTTCACACAGAAAACATTCACTGCTGTAAGTTGAAAATGATTCAGGGGGAGCATCTTTAACTTTTTAGATTTCATTTCAAATAGGCAGAGCTTCAAAACTGGGCTTGACGTCAAAACTAAGACAAAAGTTGAGACTCAATTGACGTATTTATTTATGGAAATTCTTTATTGGATTTTAATCGAATGTGATTAAATGATTAGCAGATGACATAATAATCTAGGACAACTTTTGGAAGAAGAAAAGCTAATGAAAACGTTTTACTTGAATGACGTTATCATTAATAGAATAATTTAGTTTGCTAATTTTGGAATAAATTTTAATGTTAATTTGAAAAATTGAACGAGGGAAAATAAGCCATGAAGCATGAAACATTGGAGTTTGACATGTGGCTCGTTTTGCCCGACTACTTTGCAATCTGATGTTGAAAGGTCTTTGAAGTTAGCGACAGGAAGTCCGGATTAGACCTGGCCCGAGCTGGAATTAAATAGTATACCTAAAGTGTATTTAAGATAAAACTTGGGAAAATCATTTGGTAAACTACTAATTCGGAAATTTGTTTTAAGCTTACGTGTAGACGTGTAAAAATTATTGGCATGAAAGAAAAACAATGGCGAATGAATAAACAATACTTCGGCTAGAATGTAAACAGAACACAAAGCGCAGAAAAGAGCAAATCTGAGCCCGAATTGCTTCGGGGTATATTTTCTCGACGATACGACCACGACAAAATTTCCGCACCCAGAGAAAATCATACCAAGCGAAGAGCCATGGCCGTGGACTTGTATGATTAACAATTTTCAAAACTGTAACAGGAAAACCACATTTGAATTAAACATTCCGTTTAAATTAAGGTTAGAACTACATTATCACTAATGTGGTAAAAGTTTTATTGGGACCATTTTGAGTTATTAAAATTTCTTGATTTTGGCTCATCTGGGAAGGAAAGTGTTCCAAAAATCATAAGACGATATGCCGGTCGAAGCTCGCAAGGTTATTATAAAGTATATTCGAACCAAATAATGACATGAAGCCATATACAAGCAAAACGGGCAAAATTTTCTTTGTATCTAAGTTTATCTGACATTGTTTATCTTTTTCCGGTGCCAGCGAGATATCTAGAAAAGCCGAGATAGCCCGAGGCTTCTTTGCACGCCGCAACGGCCAAGGCGAAAGCGACACAGAAGGAACAAGCAATGAAAACAACCCAACGGAAAAACCCTCAAGTTTAAAGACATGAAACATAAACAGAGAAACTAGACGGGTCAAAAAATAATATTTAGGTTTAATATACCCATTTAGAATTTTTGATAGATTTGTGCCCAGCGCAAAATTGACCCGCAAACCCAATGCATGTAATTCTTCTGTTTTAGTACTCACGAGTAATCTTATAATTATCGGGGTTAAAAAAACATTGCCATCAAATAAAGCTGAAACCATATTAAACAAGACTGCTCGTATCAGGGCGAAGCCCTGAATGTTCCGATTGCCTTTTAAGGTTTATTGAGCAGCAGTAATACATAAAAAAATGAAATGAAATAAAATAAAATGAAATTTTTTTTTTCTAAAGTTAGAAATTTTTTAATGAAAATTATCCCCCACACGCCAAATAAAGTACAAAAAGATAAATTTCGTTCCTTGTAACAAATCAATTATGGCAAATAAGCTTCGTTGAACCAATTTGGAAGGATTTATAAGACGGATTAAATCTCCGCTTACGCGTTAATAGCGCGAATTATATTGCGCGTTAATTGTCCCAAATTGGTCAAAATGGCAAACTTTAAACCCTCATAACTTTACAAAAAATGATCACAGGTGAAATATCTTTTCAAATTTAAGCTCAGGACAACAATACCTTTTGAATGATATAAAAAATTCCGTCAAAAATGGCTAGTTAAAAAGTCGAAATTTGTCTGAAGAAAAAAAAAACCCACCCCGAGCACAAATATTCCGTTACTTTCGTATCGAAAGTCGGAACAATAAAGTTGAGTTTCTCCGATTCAACAAATGTCAGGATTTTTAATGATGGTTTAGTTTGATGCCTTCGCTGCTTTACCAGGTATATTCAATTACCTTGGCGTCAGGGCTGGATTTCTAGTACAGTAGTTAAAAAAATGATTCAATTAACAAAAGCTTAATTCCTAACAGCAAAGAGGACAGATTTCACATTTCAGGTAACAAAACAACTGGAGATTAAACAACAATAAAACAAACAATAACGAAACGGGGATATTTCAACTAAGTCTGATGGTAGGATTAATTTAGTTTATTTTATTGTATTCATTTCGGTCGGTGCCAAAAAGATCCCCCAAAACGCAACTGAATTGGCTTTAATTTCAATTCCCATTCTTATGATATTAGAGCATAAGCAATAGATTGAGTTTTTATGCACCATTGATCTATTAATAATTGAAAAGGAAATCTTATAAAAAAAAACCACTTTGATGGTTTTAAAAATGCGCCGAAAAAATTTCGCTCAATAGCGCAGCTTCACCGTCTGATTTTTCGTCTGCAAGTAGCACAGTGTCGTCTTATGGATCGAATCGTTCCTTATAGCTTGAAAAAAAAAAGCTTCGAAAACAATTTTTATTTGATAAGAACGCTCTAACATTCCACACACAAATCATTAAATGAAGATCTGTTGAATTCCAAAGTCGAAAACCAAAAAATGAATTTTTAATTAAATTTAGTTGTTTTTATTCACTTGGAAGACTTCAATAATATTTTAAGAAAATATTAAAGTTGTTAATGTCAAAAAATGACATTTCAAAATTTCAAAAAAAAATTCCAAAATACACTGTTCAGATTTTCGTTGAAAATGGCTATTAAAAGAGTCAACGACAATATATAAAAAACTAGTTGCTTCGTTTCAAAATCTTGACTGTTCCGATTGCAGTTAACGAGTTTTAAGTAGTTTATGGTTAGAAAAAGATAATTTTCACTGAAACAAAATAACCTTCATTAATCTTAAAAAAATGCCCCTACGCGCGATTTGAAAGACAAAATGAGTATTTGCTTCCATTGATGCAGTATTTGAGTCAATTACCTCGTCTGAATTCATTTGGAATAATTTCTCTGCCGGATGAAGTCGCCGCCGGCGCTATCCGTCAAAAAATAATTGGAAAATTTGTAAAATTCAATTATCACAAATTGAAATCCCCATAAGTTCACGAAAAATAATCGCAGGTCAAATATTTTGCCAATTTTCAGCTGACGGCATCAAGAGCTTCATAAAAACGGTTTGTCAAAACTATATAAAAATTCAAAAAAGACAGCTAGTTAAAACAAGGTAGCTCGTATCAAGGCGACGCCCTGAAAGTTCATACTGCCCTTTAACGTCTATGGAAAAGAGTTCAACTTTAAAAATGATAAAATTCAGAAAAAAAAACATTTAAAATCCCCACACGCCATTTTAAGTACAAATTGATACAATTTGCATCTGGAAATTTATTAATCAAAATAACTAATTTCAAAAGTCAGAACAAAAACACGAAAGTTCTGGAGGCCAAAAACAGCACAAATACCGAAATTTTACGTGTTGAAAAAATTCACGGCCAGGACACTTCGTGTTGTTTGCCCAATAGTACTCATATAGAAACAAACTGCTCGTATCAGGATGACCCCTTGAATTTAGCGACTGCATTTTAATTTCTATGGAGTACTTTAATTTACAGTAATTGATAAAATTTATTTTAAAAAATTCAAAAATAAAAGCTTAAAATATATCGCGCGCTATTTATAACAAATTGGCCAAATTGGCAATCTTCAAACCCCCATGCAAAAAATAATCACCGGTGAAATATTGAGCTCAGGACAACTTTTTTTCGAATGAGATTTTAAAATTCCGTCAAAAATTGCGGGTTAAATTTTTCTAGACAAAATACAACCCCTAGCACAGATATTCCGTTTTTGTCTTAGAAGTTAGTCGGAACAAAAACTTCAAGCAGCTGGTATCAAGTCGACGCGTTGAAATACATGACTGTCCTTCTAAGTTTTTGTCATCATCCCCTCACACCCACACGCGCACGCAATGCTAAGTTTCTAATGAAATGAGCGGCAACGCATTACTTCGACCAATTAGAGCTTGCTTTAATTGCAATTTCGAAGAAATTTGATCGAGGATTGATTCGCCGCCTACGCATTATTCAAAACTAGAAAACAGCGCACATGAATTAGTGAAAAATCAGCCAAACTGACTGCTTCATACCCTCATAATTTCACAACAAACATTGCAGGTCAAGTATCACAATCATTTTTGGTTTTTCATTTAAACGCAAGGCATTGATGTCATTATGATTTGAGAAATTTGTCATTAAAAACTACAGCTAAACAGTTCTTCATAAATTGGAATCGAAATTGAAAAAAGCGCACAAAATGCTGAAGAGCCTACTGCAATTTTTAAAAATCATGAATCTGATGCAATTCCAAATCATTCTGTTAGAATATTTTGAAAAAAATGGAAAATACATCTTTGATAATTTGTTTGATCAAAAATTGCAGAAATGAGTACATCAACAACAATTAAGTCTATTTCTGTCCGTTGTAGCAAAAATGGTAGCAAGGAGATAATTTCCGCTCACAGTTTAATTGTAGTAAAAATGAAAGCCTGTTTTTTACATGCAATAAAGGCTAATGATGAGAGTAAAAAAATATCTCGGAGCAGCCATTTTCTTCAACTGTGAAAAGTTAAGCACTTCTGGTTGTTTTCAGTATGCTCCTTAATACAAAGACTCCCATTCGCGTCATAAAAAGACTGAAGAAGAAAAGAATTTGAAATCCATAATCCAAACCAGAAAGCTTTGAACTTGAATGTCTTGCAAAATAAAACCCAATTATTAGAAAAAGCGAAAAAATATGTAAAAATCTGATCTAAGCAAATTATTCTCATTGATTAATTACCTGTGGATCCGAAAGTTTCAATGAATTAAAGTAGCCTGCTAAAAAAACTGTGATTCCAGATTCCACTTAAAACCCATCAGT